CCTGGCAGCTTCATGGTCCCCCCAGGCCTCAGCAGCAGCCGCCTCACATTTTCCATCTCATTTTCCATCTCACTGGAGCCGCCCCATCCCCCCATGACAGGCAAATTACTGAGAGTTCTTAAACACCCAGGTCTCTGAGAAGTTTTTTCCAGGTCACCTCTCAGCTACCATAGGGGAGGCTGGGACTCAGGGTAGAGACCAGCCCAGGAGCTCTGCTGACTATAACTCCCACCTCCAACTGCCCCCACACAGCCACAGACAGACTAGAGCCACTGGGAGCTGGAAACAGCTTCATAACTGGCTACTGCATCCAGACATCTAATAAAGGACCTGGTACCGAAGAGGCACTTGGGAAACATGAGGATGAATGAATGAATGAGTGGATGAATGGATGGACAGATGAATGCCTGGAGGAGCAGGGAAAGGCACAACTAGGACAGGTACAACATTTGCCATGCACTTGATCTGTGTCACCACACCAAGAATAGTCTCCAAAACCTTGGGGTAGGCATGCCTGTCCCCAGTTTTATGGAATAGAGCCTCAGAAAGGTTGAGAACCTCACCCAGCATTCCAGAGCTTGTAACTGGCAATGCCAGGCAAGACGCCTGCTCTGTGACACTCCAAGGAACAAGCTGCCTCCTGCATGGGTGAGGCTAGAAGGGCTGGAGAAGGGGAGCTCCTTAGTGTAGACTAGAGAGTTCCCACTCTATCAGCTGTGCAACCTTGGACACATTATTCAGTCTCTCGGTTTCCTCATCCGTCAAGTGGGTCTAATATCAGAACTCCATATACAGTATTCTGCGAGGGGTGGAGAGCTTACTTAACCCAGAGCCTGGCACATTGGAAGTGATCAAATAGCTTTCATGAATCAAGAGCCATGGCAGTCCAGGAAGCAATCTTCTGGTGGTCTCTTGGCGGGTTCTAATATTTGTGCACTTGGGTTCCTATCATATCATTATCTAACCCTTGTCACTGGATCCGGACCCCCATCCCTTTCTCTAGGATCTCAGACCATTGGTGCCAATTACACTCTGCACTGCTGCAAGGTACATGCACTCACATATATGCATGCACATGCCCCTCACCCCCCAGCTCTGCCTGCAGGCTCAGCTTCTAACATAATCTCCACTTGTTCCCAACAAGTTTTAGCCTAGAGCCTGGTGCACAAGATTCTTCTCACTAATCCATGCCCCTGACTAGACATACTATGAGCAAACAAAAGCTCATTGCTCCAATCATAACATAGAAAGAACAGAAGCTAGAGTTGGGCCAACTGTTTGGGATGCTGGCTACGTGACCGGTAGCCATTTACTCTATTGCATAACGGGATAGTAGGAATGGGTGGGTTAGATGCTTCTCCTGGGCTCTTCTGCATGGACATCAGGATTGGCTGTACTCCAAATACTTATATCTAGAACCTCCCAGAAAGTGCAGATACCTGGCTTCACAGAGCCACAGGGCCACAGAATGTGATCACATCTTCTTGTCCCTCCGAGAAGCAGCCCCCGATTTATTAACATTCTAAAGTTAAGGGGATCCATCCTCCTGGCTGCTCCCAGTTCCCCCAAGAATGAAGACACAGACATCCTGTCGACTCACTGGATAGCAGAGTGGGAAAACATCATTTCATTATACAGAGAGGAAGAAAGCAGCTCAGAAAAGTCAAGTGACTTGCCCATGCCACACAGCAAATGGTGGAGTCAGTTCTCAAAGAATTGGGCTCCAACTCTCAGATTCTTCCATCCTTACGCATCGGGTTCACGCAATGTCCTCAACACACGGTATGCGAGCAACAGGAATGAGTAAGTTCTGGAAGACCTCAGAACACAGCTCTGTTCTGCAGCTAAAGCTGCATCTTACAACCCTGAAATCTCAAAAGTTAACATTCAGACCTCCTTCACTGGAAAGGATCCCGAGAGCAAGCTGCTCAACTGTAGTCACCACAAAAATCTCCCTTCTGAAGCCTCCTTGATTAATCACAATCACCAATGTTTTAAACAGTTTGCAAACTACTTTCCACAAACCCTATGTCTTTATCCAAACATGCCAGGTCATCCGGCATAACCGAATAACTCAAGTGACAGTGAGCTCATTCCCTTTCATCCTCTCACTAAGAGAGTTGCCCGTTTACACTTTCCCTGTGTGGGGCCCAGACCACCACGCTTCACGCAACAGGAGATCTGCCATCACCCCCACCAGGCCTTCTGCAGTTGACAGCTCCCAGTGCTTCCCACCAGTTGGGAGGTGAGCCCACGCAGATCCCCCTCACACGCAGTAGGACTCCCTGCACCCAGGCAGTAGGTGGTGTGGGAGCACACTGGGGATCTGTTCTTCTCCAGGTAACTCAGGTTCTGCACCTTAGAACCAAAGTGGCCCAAGGGGCAGGAAATACGTCAAGAGTGTAATGCACTCTCACTCCAAGCCCTGGCTGCCTAGGAGAACTGGCTCTGGGACCTGGAACAAGTCCCTTCCCTGCTCAGGCCACAATCTACTCATCTGTAGGATGAGCAAAACAACACCTCCTGGAGTAGTCCCTACTTTTATGGTCCACGTTCTGGGTTCTATAAAGCTCCAGAGAAGTTCAGGGACAGACCCAAGATTACACAGCAAGAACTACACAATCTGGCCCTGTTCACATCTCCCATGCAATCTCCACCTCCTCTCTAGCCTCTGCGCTGGTCTCAAAATCAACAAGCTTTTCCCTACTTCCTTACCGGATGTTCTTATTCAGCTGGTTCCATCTCATCTGTCAGTCCTTGGCCTCCCTGAGCCCCCCAGTCACACCTTCATGTGTTCTTGGTACTGTCTTTCTCCATCTTCATCATGATCCATATTGTCATTTATTGTCCAGCTACTGCTTAACCCCACTCTCCTCCATTAGACCCAAAGCCCCATGAAAACAGACACTTCATCCCTGTCCACAGTGGTACCCCCATCTGTGATGATGCCTGGCATAGGCACTAAATAGTTGTGAATGAATGAATGAGGGGCCAGGAGAAAGACGGGCCTCTTCCAGGTGGGGAGGAGGAATGATTCTGCCTACACAGAATCCACAGAGAACGTGACAGGCACCCATGGAAATGTGTCACATACCACTTGAGAATAGCAGTGATCACAGCTGCCCTCATCTGAGCTGACAACAAGCCGGGTGCTATCTTATTTACCCTGTAAGGCTGGGAGATGTGTGATTTCCCTCTTAACCAGGAAAATGAACTCCAGAGACCTCAAGTAACTTGCCCAAGATCACACAGCCAGGAATCTACAGATCCCAGATCCAAGAGAGATCTGAGAGACCTGGGCATGGAGCCTGAAACACTGAATGAATGATGGAAATTGAGGCTCAGCTTTGGCCCAGGCAGTGGGAAGTCACCTGCAAGGCCCTGCCCCTATGAGATTCTGGGGCTATTTTTCTATCTTAACAGTCATGGATGACTCAGATTGACTCCTGGGCCCTGCCACTGACTTCCTGGGATGAACAGGAGCCCATGGAGTGGAAGAATGAGAAGACTCTGAAGCAAAGCTGTGGCTCACCTTCCCTTGCCAGGATGCGCAGTGGGGGCCAGGAAGCACAAGTGAGGAGCTCAGGGTCTGAGTTCAGCGCAGTTCAAGCAAAGAGTCCAGGAAGCAGCTCAGAGCACTGGCAGGGCAGGGCCAGGTCTCTTTCTGGCTTGTCTCCCTCCTTCTGCCCACCCTCTCCTCACCCCAGGCTTCTATAGGAGCTGACTGAACCCCTGATTGCCAACACTGAATGGTGCCTTTGGGGAGATTAAGCCTCAGCTTTAACAGATGAAGAAATTGCCTAGCTTGAGGAAGAGTAGAGGCTAAAGGAGTAGACTGCTATTGAACATATGCTGCAAAGCAGATACTGGGGATAAATGGGGAGGGGGTGACACAGTTGAGCAAGACCCCAAAACTCTAACAAGAGAGAAAAACACTTGATGAGAAGAATTATCCTGCAAAGCTAAATATTGCCAGCAGATATAAATCAGCAGAGCACTGTTAACACTGCGGCCCTCTGCCTGGGGTCTGAGCCCAGGGTCTGCTGTAGGGTCTGCTGTAGTGCTATAGCATCAGCTCACAAGAGTGGCTAACCTTTCAGCTTCTTCCAAAACCATGCCGTGGTGGTAGAGCCCATGAAGCTTCCAGTCTCTCTGGCCAACGTCAGCACATAAGAGCTGGTATATCCCTAAAGTTGCCAAGGTCCAGGGCAGTGCACAGATGGAGCCTGGCCTGCACCTAGTAGGTGCTCATGTCCACTGAAAGGGTAAAGGCGAAGGCTGCTCTCTCAGGGGTGCTGTTCTGAGGTCCTCACATATCCAAAAGAATGTCCCATCTCTCACTGGGAACATGGAAAAACATGGGCCCTGGTCACGAGGGGTCAACCAGACAACTAAGTGTTCAGGGGCTGTCCCAGAGAGGGCTGAAGACAATATCCGGAGATCGAGGAAGCGGACTCTGAACCAGTTCTCCCACAACATCATCCTCCCAGGCTGTGGGACCGTTAGACTGGGCGGAAGTCGGACTGCAGCCAAGGGGATGTTCCCAGATGTCATGCTTTCAAACCGGACCCGCCCTGAATGGCAGGCAGGGACAGGCCTGCACTGGGGAAAGCCCTGGGGAAAGACTCAGAATGGTGTTCTGGCCTCTCCTCGGCAGATGGGGGTTCTAAGCAATTGAGGGTAGAGGTCTAGCTCCTCACTGACTACCCCAGGCCCGGTATTCCCCCCAAATGTCAATTATGGCTCTGGGCATCCTCCAAAGCAGTTTTCTCAAGCCCTCCTTCCCAAATCAGGGTCCTTTGACCAGTTTCCTACTCAGGTGAAGGCTTCTTAAACACAATGGGAGGGGGACGTGAAAGAGCCCTAGAGCAAGCTCCGAGTGGTCCCCCTGGGTTTAGGAGCCCTTTTCGGTGGTACTGGGCCGGCTGGTAGCTCAGGCCCTTGGGGTTATGACAACCGGCACCTCCCACAGCCCCCCTCGTCCCCATCAGCACCCCCACCTTGAGATAGTCGTTCTCCGAGCGCAGCTCCTCCAGCTCTCGCACGAAGCCGCCAGGGCCGCAGTCCAGCATGTCCTCGGTGAGGTCGGAGAAAGCGAGCGAGGCACTCAGCGGCAGGCGGCTGCTGCCCACCGACGACGCGGCTCCCGACGGCTCGTCCGGGGAGGCTGGGGGCCGCGGAGGGTGCTGCGCCGGCTGCGCGGGCTGGGGCGGCTGCCCGGGGCGGGCCCCCGCCGGGCCCCCGGCCGCCGACTCGGCGTCGCTGCTCAGCGCCAAGTCCAGGCCCAGCAGGCGCGCCTCCTCCGACGCGCAGTCCGACACCTCCGAGCTGCTGTCCGTGAGGCTGGGCGGCGGCGGCGGCGGTCTCGGCCCCGTCCCCGGGCGCGGGCGGCCCTTCGAGCGGACCCCAGTGCGCACCCCGGCCACCCGCGCCCCTGCGCCGCGCGCCCCCGGAGCCACCACGCGCCCCTTCTTGTCCGGCCGCGCCGAGGACGCGGCGCTGCAGGCGGCTGCGGCACCCGGGCCTGGGCCGCGGCGGCCCTTGGCCAGAGACCAGCCGGCCACGTCCTTGGGCCGGGCCGGCGACGGCGCGCGGTGGCTCTTCTTCCTCTCCGGGAGCGGCGCGGGCGGGGGGCCGCAGCCCCGGGCCGAGGGCTCCCCCGCCGGCGCCTCCATCGTGGCCTCCCTCGGCCTCAGCAAGCGGCGCGCATGGCTCGGGGCCGCCCGGCCTCCGCGCCCCTGTGGCGAGTCCCGGCGCACCTCGGGCCGCTCGGGCCGCGGCTGCTCTCGGCCCGCCTCAGCCGCGGGCGTGCGCTCCGGCCCCGAGCCCCGCCGCGCGCTCTCTCCGCCGCTCTGAGTTCGGAGAGCGCGACCAGACCGTCTCCAGGCGCCCCGGCTCCGGCTCCGGCTCCGGCCGGCGCCCGCCCCCTCGGCCTCGCCGCGCCCCCGGAGCGCCCCCGGGCCCCGGCTGCTGGAGCGCCGATCGCCTCCTCCGGCTCCGAGTCCGGCTGCGGCCCGGGCCCCGGCTCCGCCCGGCGCGGTCCGCCCCCCGCGCAGCCCCGCCAGCTCCCCGCCCCGCCGCCTCGGCTCGGGGGCGCGCGGCTCCGCGAACAAAAGGCGGACGCGGCGCGAGCGGCGGGGAGGGACGCAGGCGGCGAGCGAGGGAGGGATCCGCGAGGCAACAGCGACCCCCTCGAGGGTCAGGCGGGCCCGGGCTGCCGCGGCCTGGGCTCCCTCCTCCTCGGCTCCGCCGCCCCCCACTGCCCTGCCGGCCTGGGGCGTGCACCCCGCGGTGGCGCCCCTTCTCCCGGCGTCCAGGCAGGGGTCCCGCGGGCGGCGGGACGCGGGACTTCCAGGCCGAGGCCCGGAGGACCTCAGGCCGCAGGAGGCTGCATCCATATACACACCGGGTACCACCGCGGTCCTCGCCGCCGCGCTGAGCCTGCGCGAACTCCGCCCCCTCCGCCCCACAAAGCCGGAGCGGGTACCCCATTGTACAGAAGGGCAAACTGAAGCGCGGGGAAGACCATCAGCCCTAGGGCGACGGCCGCGCGCGGGTGGGCGCCTGAGCCTGCCCCGGCGCCTCGGCCTCGGCTTCCCTCTCCCTGGTCATGGACGGGGGAGCCCCGGGTGCAAGCCCCGGGGTGCATGCCCGCGGCTGGTCGTGACCCCAGGCTTACTCCCGCCTCTCCCCGACCCCCATTGCAGACTGCACAGTCACATGGAGTCGGCCCATTTTGAGGTGTCAAACTGGTGATGCTTTCGGGGTAGGTTCTGGCACAGGCCAGAGGCTGTTGCCCCATACCCACACGTCCTCGCAAGGGCCCCAGCTCTAGTAGTTTCTTTGCTCCCAGAGCCGAGCTCCCGGCAGTGTTGTTGGTTTGCCAACGTGTCTGCCACACCTTCCCCGCCCCCTTCCATTCCCCGCTGCTCGCTGCCACACCTCTGCCTAGCTAAAACGTTGCAGGGCAGAGCCAGATCAAGTTCCCCGGCTACCCTAGCGGCTACCCTAGCGGGCAAGTGCCCACCCTCTAGGCAGCACCCTGGGGGGGGGGGCAGGGCTGTTTTTACCCCCCCACGGCCTCTTTTTTCCTCCTTCTTCTCCTTTCCTTTCCTCCACCACTTCCCTTAGCTCTTTTCCGCCTCCTTTTCCTTGCTTCCCCTTTCCTCTTCCTACCCATTTCCTCCTTCCTCCTCCATCTCCCCCAGGCCTGTTCCTCCACTTCCTCCTGCCCTTAATACGCAGCTGGCACCAGGTCCTCTTCTTCCTTCCTGTCCCACCTTCCCCACACACAGTGCATGCACTCCTGGGTATACACTTCCATCCCCATCTGGATGTATCTAGGTGTGTGACTGCCCCCTCCACCTTCAGATGCTTCCTCCGGGTGGCCCCCCCACCTCACCAGATAAAGGACAGGGCCACTCACCAGATTCTGAGTAAACACTTCAGGGGCATTCCCAAGCCCTCCTGGAATGCACCAGCTCCCTGCCTGAGTGACTGTCGGCTCACCCAGTGATGCACTGGGTACACAGTGGTTGACTTGTCAGTGGAGGGTTCCTGTTCATGGAGCACACAGTGTAGAGGGGAGATGAGCCACAAAAGACTCATCATAAGCAGTGTGGCAAGGCATGACTCAGGGGCAGGGGTGCTGGGAGGTGACCCAGGACAGAGCTTCCCACTTCCTGGGCCTCAGACTCCCCACCTGGTCTGGCCTGATGGAACAGATGAAGGGTCTTCCAGCATGAGGTCCCTGTTTCTTGGATGATTCTGGCCTGGCACAGAGAGATGCTGTGTAGCTCTTAGACATTGTTTACCCTCTCTGTGCTTTCAGTTTTTCTCCTATGCAGAATATGGCTTTAGCGATACTGGATGGTGTGGATCCATGCAGGAGGCATGCCAGACGAGGCTGGCTCAGCCACTCCTCACATACCCATAGCCACACCAGGGGGCCTGAGATTAGAGTGGCCTGGATCTCCCCATTTGACCCTGGGCCTGAGTCCCAGCTCAACCACATATCCTCACTGGGCTTCCACCGACCGTCATGGTTGAGCAAGGGGTTGGGGGAGCCATGTTCTACATTGCAGCCCCTGGAGAGTCCTGGAGAAAAAGAAAGGCCCTTTTGGGGAGGAATCTGGGGGTGAAAGAACTGAGATAAGAGCTCTGGACTCAGGATCAGTTCAGACTAGGGAGGTTTGCTGAGAGTTCAAAATTGGCTGCTTGCAGGGAGACCATCATTGACTGCCAGCAAAGCAAGCCCTGTGCTTCTTGACCTGAGGATGTTCACGTACGCAGGGCTCTGTGCTCAAACTGCAGTGGAGCATCTCAGAAAGGCAAGGAACTTCTTGTGACTGTTTTTTTTTTCCCCCAAAGATGGGCACAGCAATGTATATATCATCCCAACTGCTCTTTTTACAATGTGGCACAGACACTTTTCCAATTGAGTAGCAGAGTCTGTGGGTCCTTCCCTTGAACCTGAACAGATCTTTGTGACTGCCTCAACCAAAAGACTATGGGGGAGGAGGGCTCCCTGGTGGCACAGGGGTTAAGGCACAACCTATGAAGCTATTCGCAGCCACTGAAGCACAAGTTCGATCCCTGGGCAGGGAGGTGACCCACATGGCGCGGCAGACCTCTCCTGACTCACCCGCTGCTCCCCTCAGCAATGTATTTTAGTAGATCTGCCTGTTCCGTTCCCCATTCTGTCTCTGGTGAATCCTCTCATTCCCCACACCTCTGGTCTGTACTCCAGTTCTTGTATGCATAAATAAATCAATCTTTAAAAAAAAAAAAAAAAGGTTATGGGGGAGATGACACTGTCACTTCCAAGGCTGGGTCATAAAAGGCAACATGGCTCTGCCCATGAAAGCACACACTCTCTCTCCCTCTCTTTCTCTCCCTCTCTCTCTCCTAACCCTTGGAACCCAGCCACCATGTGGGGAGGAAGTCCAGGCCTTATGGACAGGCCACGTGAAGTGTTCCTGCCAACAACTCCAGAGCTGGTCCCCATTAAACCACTAGATGTGTGAGAGAATGAGATTTCAGATGGTTCAGCCTGCAGCCTTGGAGCTGCCCCAGATGATGCCAAGTGGAGCAGAAACTAGCTGCCCCACTGATCCTGCCTGACTGCAAAATAAATATTGTTGTTTTAAGCCACTAAGTTTGTTACACAGCGATGGATACCAGGAATGCAGGCCCAAGGTCATACAGCTTGTTACAGGGCTGGGACTGATTTGAACCCAGGGCCACCCAACCCCAGAACCTGTTGTGCCGCGTGATCAGGCTGTATCCAGCCCAGGCATACAGTGTGTGCTGTATAAACCTCCACTCAAAAGCAATGAAGTATTCAATGATTGCAAGAATTATATATCACCATGTAAGAAATAAAAATGCTGATTTCCCCGTGGGAAAAGTTTGCTTTCTCCTGTTCTAGCTGCTAAAGTGACCAACATGATGGAGGCTAAATCCTAGAAGGCTTCAATAAAAGGTAATTTTTTTTTAAGATTTATTTATTTATTTATACAAGCACTGGGTACAGTCAGAAGCGCGGGAGGGTGAGAGAATTCATCAGAGTCAGAGCGGAGAGTAGAACAGGCAGACCGACAAAGTACACTGCTGAGGGGAGCAGCGGGTGGCAGGAGAGGTCTGCGCGCCATGTGGGACCCTCCTCCGGTGGCCGGGGAGCAGCAGGGGATCGAGCCTGCGCTGCAGAGGCTGCGGGCAGCTTCGCAACCCAGCGCTCAACCGCTGCACCACCAGGGAGGCCAAAAGGTAATTTTTTTAAATGAAAGATTTTTTTCATTATACAAATCATGAAGAAACAAAGCTACTGGTCGAGGAAGAATTAGAGGAATTGGTAGGGTACCTGCTTTATTTAGGGAGGCGTCTCTGAAAAGGTGACAAACTAAGTTATCAAAGAGACAGAGTAAGAGAACTCCGAGCAGAGCAACAGAAAAGGCAAAGGCTCCAAAGGAAGACAAGCTTGATAGTCTCAGGAAAGTAAGATCAATGTGGCTGGAACTTGGATGATAGCAGAAGGAGAAGATAAAGTTGGGGTAGACAGCAGAAGCCAAGGCATGTCCTGGGCAGGGGCTTTATTTTTGACCCAGTGACAAGACATTGGAGAATGTCAGCAGATCCATGAGGCTCTCTAACTTATGATTTAAATAGGTCACTCTAGATCCTCGCAAGAAGGGAAGATAGTGGGCCAAAGGACTATTGAACCATAGTCCGAGAGAACAGTGGATGAGGCGGAGGCAGTGGAGAGGAAAAGGAGAGTGGTCTTGAGATCTTTTCTGGAGCTTTGAAGAGTCAGTTTCCCTGGGCAGGAAGTAAGGGTTCTGAGAAATGAAGTCAAGTTCAACTTTCTAGTTTCTGACTTTAGATACAGGGTGCATGATGATGCTATTTAACCAGACAGGAAAGGCAAACTAGGAGGTGGTCAAAGAATAGAGAGACCAGATTTGGAAGGGGAAATCATGACTTCTTTCTGGGTTTGAGATGATTATGGACCATCCAAGTAGAAAGCACCATGTAAGGAATTGATAGAAGGGACTCCCTGGTGGTGCAGGGGGTTGAACGCAGCACTGTGAAGCTGTCCACGGCCTTTGCGGTGAGTTCTATCCCCGGCCGGCTGGGAGGCAACCCACATGGCATGGCAGACCTCTCCTGATTCACCCGCTGCTCCCCTCAGCAGTGTATTTCAGTCTGTTCTGCTCTCCACTCTGTCTCTGGTGAATCCTCTCACCCCCCACACCCCTCTGGCCTGTACCCCAGTTCTGGTATGCATGAAAAAATCAATCTTTTTTTTTTTTTTTAAAAAAAAGAATGAGACAGCAAGGCAAATCTCATTGTGCCACCTGTTTAGAGATTGAGTGTGGGGGACATAGGTCGGGGGTGGGGTGGGAGAGCAGGGAGGGACAGGTGTGTGACCCCTGAGCTGTTTACAGTTTCAACACATATTGCAACAGCCGTGTTTGAGATGGCAACAGGGCCCCTCACTTTCCTGTTTTCCCCATAATACAAGTCCTTTTGGCATCCCACCCTTCCAGAACAGAGGATGCCCTGGAGACATGGCCATAGATAGAGTAGCTAAGGATCGAAGTCCTCTCCACTAAAGCCAGCAAGAGGTTTTTTTGTGTTTTTTTTTTTCAGCTATATTTCAGTGGTGTGAGTAACCCCAGATTGGGGGGGGCTCACCCCCACAATAAAGGCTGACTGCCCATTTGGTGAGCATATTTTCATGGGGATCCTGCCCTGGGTTGGAGGTGGCTTGCTCTGGGACAGGTTGAAGCCCCTTCCAACTTTGAGTTCTGTGATTCAACAATGCAACTTTCATTGAAATCCTCCTATGGGTCAGGGACAAAGACATAACCCCCATAGATGGGGTGCCTGATGTATGCTAAACACTGGGCTTTCTATGTGGAACCTCACAAAATGTCAAGGCTTGTCAATGAGGAAAGAATTGAATCAGCACCCCATCTGATGGAGGGGAAATCAGTAGGGCCAGAGCAGGGCTGCTTCTCCCAGCCTCCAGCCCTGAGCTGCCCTTGCAGAGCCCATAGATTTACCCATGCTGTAGCAGTTGTGTCCCACAAGGGAAGAACCTTCGACAGTGGGCTTTAGTTACTAGGTGGCTGTGGTGAGAGACTCTGGTCCAGTGGGGGCAGAGCGGGGCCAGAGGGGTGACAAGGTCATGTTTGTGTGTATTTGTGGGGTTTGAGTTTCTGATGGACAATAATCACCTCCAGGCCTTCCCAGCTGGAACCAGCATGGGCGCAGGGCCAGGGCCTGCCACCCTCTGGGCAAGTATAAGAGCCAGGGAGGAGAGCCTGGAACTGATCGTGGTAGAAGTGCCAGCCACCTGCCAAGGGACCAGGGTGTGGAACTAAAGCTTCTGCGTACTGACCACTAGTTGGGCAAAGTCAGTTCTGGATGCGGCCCCCTCTTTGGGGTTCAGAGAGATGCACTAAGGAAAACAACTGGCTGAATGGACTGGAGGTCTCAGATACCAGGGCTTAGCAGGGTGAGTACATCTCCACAGTTCCCGCCTCTCCTTCCCCACCTGAGCTACTCACTCACTCTTGCATGTGATCAAGTCACTATCCCAGAGGTGACAGATAGAGACAGTGGCCATTTGTCAGAAATTCAAGTCCTGGATCTCTCAAGGAGGCAGTGTCAGGTGGATAGAAATAAGCATTGTCATTTATCCAGCAGTCAGCAAACAGCAGGTACTGAGGGTTATCTCAGCAAATTGAAGATAGTCTGGCATGACATTCTAATTTTTTTTTTTAAAGATTTATTTATTCATCTATACAAGCACTGGGTACAGTCAGAAGCGCGGGAGGGTGAGAGAATTCACCAGAGCCAGAGTGGAAAGCAGAACAGGCAGACTGATGAAGTACACTGCTGAGGGGAGCAGTGGGTGGCAGGAGAGGTCTGCGCACCATGTGGGACCCTCGCCTGGTGGCCGGGAATCGAACTGGCGCTGCAGAGGCTGCGGGCAGCTTAGCAACCCAGCGCTCAACCGCTGTGCCACCGGGAAGGCCCGACATTCTAATTCTTGAGACATTTTTTTCATTTCTCCTATAATAGCCCTAGGAGGTAGATATTAGTATTGTACAGATGAAGAGATTGAAGCCCAGAGGTGTTAAGTAACTTCCCAAGGTCACATAGCAAGTAAGTGGCAAAAGCAGGGTTTGAACTCCCTGACTCCAGAGTCTTACCATTAGTAAGTCTTATCATAATTAGTCTTATCATTACCATTAGTGTATACTGTCCTGTGCTGAGTCCCTCCCTTTCTGAGGGGCAGTTTGCTTATCTGTGGGTTTTTTTTTTTATTTATTTTTATTTATTTATGCATACAAGAACTGGCGTGTAGGCCAGAGATGTGGGGTGGGAGTGGTGAGAGGATTCATCAGAGACAACATGGGGAACAGAACAGGTGGATTTACTGAAATACACTGCTGAGGGGAGCAGCAGGCAAGACAGGAAAGGTCTGCTGTGCCATGTGGGTTCGCCCCCTGGTGGGGGATCAAATTCATGCTGAAGTGTCTGCCCATAGTCCTGAGACTTGATAGTCCTGAGACTTAACCCCTTGTGCCACAAGGCTCCTTGTCTGTGGTTTGAGGGTATAAGACTTAAGGATCTGAAAGATATCACCCTGCCATTCCCTAAAGGTTTCTGGACACTGGTGGGTTTTAAGCAACTGGGAAACCTTTGGAAACATTTATCAAGAACTATGTACATGCCCTTTGACCGAGCATTCAACTTTTGAAATTCATCATAAAGGACATAATCAGAATTATGAACAAGGAAATTCATTACAGTTTGCCTCTAATCGCAGAAAATGAGAAGCAAACAAAATATCCAAAAAGAGGAATAAGTGATGTACTTCTTATGATGAAATAATTTGCAGACGTTAAAAACCACATGTTCAGGCAGCACTCCCTCTGCCCACCTGTGACTATGCAGGTGCCTCTTTTCACCAACTCTTTCCCTTTGCAGGGCAGCAGCATTCCTGCCTGCCCGTGACCTGTCAAGGCTGCCTGCCTGCAACCATGCAGGCCTCTCTTAGCAAACCTGTCCCTTCTGGGCAGCTCTTCCTACCTGCTTGTGTCTATGCAAGTGTCTTTTACTGTTTTATCCCTTCCCTAATAAACCTGCCCTTTAAATATAAAAACAAAAAAAAACCCCACATATTCAAAGATTATAGGATGTCACTGGAAAATTCTCACTCATTGAGTTGAGAGAAGCTCTTTATAAATTATACACATGGTATGATCTATTTATAAATGTGTGCGTACACATGTATATGAAATAAATCCAAAAATGTGAAAAATATACCCTTAGGCAGTGAGAGTTTAACTTTGAGAGATGGAATTATGAATATTTTTCTATCTTTCTTTATTCTTTCCTAGATTTCTCAAATTTTCTATTATAAATGTGTATTAAATATGTATTTCTTAATCACAAAAATGAAATTTTGTATTTTTTTAAAAGATCTGTTCCTTTTTTAAAATTTTTATTTATTTATTTTTAAGGATTTATTTATTTATTTATTTATTTATACAAGCACTGGGTATAGTCAAAAGTGCTGGAGGGTGAGAGAATTCACCAGAGCCAGAGCTGGGAGCAGAACAGGCAGACCAATGAAATACACTGCTGAGGGGAGCAGCAGGCATGGCAGGAGAGGTCTGTGTGCCATGTGGGGCCCTCGCTGGTGGCCAGGGATTGAACCGGTGCTGCAGAGGCTGCGGGCAGCTTCGCAGCCCAGCACTCAACCGCTGTGCCACCAGGGGAGGCCCCAAAAGATCTGTTCCTTTGGTCCAGGCTTAATGCCTTTCAAGCTTCTGTTATGATGCACTCACCAGCTTTGAGAAGATGTCAGTGCTATGGGGGCCTCTGAGATGATCTGGAGAACCAGAGGCCCCAGATTCCCAACCTGGGGCTCAGAGGCCCCAGACCTCCAACCTAGGGCCATAGTCACTAGACCAGGTGGCCTGAAGGGCAAGGAGGTAGAAAGAAATGAGAATAGAATTACTGTTCACACCTAACATGTATCAAATGCCAACTTCAAGTGAGTTGATTGTGGCTGACCTTAGAGACTCACTTAGTGACAGCTTGGCCTGGGAGGACAGGAGAAAGGGAGCAAAGGACAACTGGGTGGGCGTGGAATCAGCTGGGTGTGCCCCAGGCCTCTCCCTGTCATCTCCAGGCCTCATCCAGTGAGGCTTCCTCTCCCCGCAGGACTGAGAACTCACGAGAGAATGAAAGGTGGCTGGCGCTATACTCTGCTGGTAAGTGGCAGGCTGGGGGCAGGGTCAGTCTGATCTGTTGTGGACACTTTCCAGCCTACTTTGGCTGGGCTGGGGGTGGCAGGGGCCTGGGAAGGGGTCATGAAGCTGAGAGGCTTTCATGCTCAGGAGGTGGGGAAACTGGTGTCTCCTTTTGTTGATTCTTTGTGTTTTCACAGTCCAGTGAGTTAGAAGACACTCTGTCTGCAGAGGAGGGTGAGGAAGAGGAGGAGACAGCACCAGCTTCAGCCTCAGCGCCAGCTCCAGCCTCAGCCCCTGCTCCTGAAGATCCCGAAGAGCCCCAGCTGACAGAACCCAGCCAGGTTTTGGGAGCCTCAGAGATTAAGCAGGTTGGGGCATGGTCCAAGGCACAAGGATTCCAGCCCCAAGTGGAAAGGTCCCAGTCTTCTGCCCCACCCCAGACAGGTCCAGGGACACCTGGGATCACTCCTGCCCTGCCCCCAGCTTAGTGTCACCTTGGGGAAATCTATTTCCTTTCTTATAAAATGACCCAGTAGTAACTAGCACCATGCTCTTCACTGGGCCAGGAGGTTACGAATCAAATGAAATTAGCTTCAGCCCTTGCGACTGAAGCCAAAGGTGGGGTGGGGTGGGGTGGGGCGTTTGTAGGTGGGAAGATTAGGAGGAAAGATTCAGCATTTCATCTATTCTCTGTTTGCCAGGGGTTTGGGACCCGGCTTCCAAACTTGATTCTGCTATTTACTCCCCATGTGGACTTCAGGGAACTTGCTTTACCTCCCTTGAGCCTCAGTTTTCTCATCTATAAAACAGGAATAATAATCCCTCTGTACAAAGGCTGCTGCTAATAGGCATGAAAACCCCCCAGAAAATAGTAAACTGCTCTAACCTGTAGAGCTCCATGCCTGTGTGAGTGGTGGCTATTTAACCCATTCCTCTGGGGCTCCCAGGATATAGTTTCCACTATAGATCCCACACTCACCTCCTGCCCTTCCCCAGCTCAGCCTCCACCTCCCTGCAAGACTCACTGGCCATTCCTGGAGTCTGGTCTTTTGCACCTCGAGGGATGGCTTCAGTTTACGGAACCTGTACAGGCAGATGGAGGGCCACGACGGGCCGGTGCTGCTGGTGCTGAGGGACCAGGAAGGGCAGGTGAGCTGGACTGGGGCCCCAACCTGAGACTATGGGGGCTTCCAACTAGGTTCCAATGGGCAGCCTCAGGAAAGAGAACACAGAAATTTTTAAAACATTACCTGCTGGTAGAAAAAAGAATGGATTGCAGAAAGCATCAAGAGTAGACTCCTACATTTTATAAGAGGAATGTGGAGAGGGCACCGCCTTTGGTCTCTTGAATGGGGGGATTCAGGCAGCAGGGGTAGGAAGGAGGAAAAGTTGGTTAGAGCTGCTCCTCTGTGGAAGAAACATGTTAGAGATAGGAGAGATCTCGGGGGTCCCAGGGGACCCCACTTGGTCAGGAGTACCTCCCTTAAAATGCTGATAGAAGAACTTGTTGCTATAAAACCAGGATGCTGACTCCCCCTGGATGGAGCCTCTTCCTTGGCAAAACAATGCTGACTAGGAGGAAGTGTCCACTCATATTAACCCCTGTCTTCTCAGTGATCCTGTGCTGCCATCCAGTGCATTCCACCTAACCATCCCACCAGAGAAGAATGGCTAAAAACAACTCTGGCCTAGACAGTGAAATATTTGGTAGATAAGAAAAATGATGTAGAACCATAGATATTCCAAGTGGTTTTTTATCTCAAGAATTATAAAGCTTTAGTTCTATTAGGACAAAAACTGATAGTGTGATATGAAGTATGAAGTTTACATTTAAACAGTTGTCACAAAAGCCTAACATATGTCTAAACAGATTTTACAATGGAATTCAAGATGCAGGTCTAGATGATGGCAAAAGTGATGGCTGTCATGACTCAAGACAGCATTTGGGGTGTTAATTCTTTTTTTTTTTTAAAGATTTATTTATTTATTTATGCATACAAGAGCTGGGGTACAGGCCAGAGATGTGGGGGGTGACAGGATTCACCAGAAACAGAGTGGGGACCAGAACAGGTGGATTAACTGAAATACACTGCTGAGGGGAGCAGAGGGCAGAGACAGGAGAGGTCTGCCTCGCCATGTGGGTTTCTCCCTGACGGGCCAGGGATCGTGGATTGCTTCATAATGAGGTGCTTAACCCCTTGTGCCACCAGGGAGGCCCTGGGGTGTTAATTCTTTTTTTTTTTTTTAAAGATTTATTTATTTATTTATACAAGCACTGGGTACAGTCAGAAGTGCGAGAGGGTGAGACAATTCACCAGAGCCAGAGCGGGGAACAGAACAGGCAGAAGGACCGAAGTACACTGCTGAGGGGAGCAGTGGGTGTGGCAGGAGAGGTCTGCGCGCCATGTGGGACCCTCGCCAGTGGCTGGGGATCGAACTGGCGCTGCAGAGGCTGCGGGCAGCTTTGCAGCCCAGAGTTCAACCGCTGCGCCACCGGGGAGGCCCAGGAGTGTTAATTCTTAATATTATTTTTGTTTTGTTTTGTTTTGTTCTGTATTTTAATTATTGTCAATTTTTTTTTTTTTTAAATCTTTTTTTTTTTTTTTTGAAGATTTATTTATTTATTAATACAAGCACTGGGTACAATCAGAAGCACGGGAGGGTAAGAGAATTCACCAGAGCCAGAGCCGGGAGCAGAACAGGCAGACAGATGGAGGACACTGCTAAGGGGAGCAGTGGGCATGGCAGGAGAGGTCTGCATGCCATGTGGGACCCTCACCTGGCGGCCCGGGATTGAACCTGCGCTGCAGAGGCTGTGGGCAGCTTCGCAGCCCAGCTCTCAACTGCTGCGCCACCAGGGGAGGCCCAATTATTGTCAATTTTTAAAAAAAAATATTTTTGCGTAGAACTGGGGTGTAGGCCAGAGGTGTGGAGGGTAAGACAGTGTGGGGAGTAGAACAGGCAAATTTACTGAAATGCACTGCTAAGCAGAGCAGTGGACGAGACTGGAGAGGTATGCTGTGCATGTGGGTTACCTCCTTGGCTGGGGATGGAACTCAGGCCATAGAGGTGACAGCACTGAGACAACTCTTAGGCCACCAGGGAGACCCTTGTTCTGTATTTTAAAGTAAGCCTTTATTTACCCCAGTATAAAAGCTCACTTTTCTACCAAGACCAGGGCTCAAATCACTAAACTCTGAAGTGTTCCATAGAACTTGTGCTGTCAATGACTGAACCCTGGCACCAATGGTTTCAAAGTTCAAGAATCAGAAAGGCGGAGTCTCCCTGGTAGCCTAGGTGTTAAGTCTCAGCACTATCACTGCTGAGATCTGAGTTCCATCCCCAGCCAGGGAGCTAGCCCACATGGTGCAGCACACCTCTCCTGTATTGCCTACTGCTCCCCTTAACAGTGTATTTTAGTAAATCCACCTGTTCTGCTCCCCACTCTGTTTCTGGTGAATACTTTCACTCCCCACACCTCTGGCTCACACCCCAGTTCTTCTGTGCAAAAAAAAAAAAAAAAAAAATTCAGAAAGGCTCCAAGAGTTTTCCATGCTTAGAGCATACATCCTTGTCTTTTCCTACCCTCTAGCCTCCTCCACAATACCTCCTCCACAATACTTTAGCCAGTGGCCCTGAGGGACAAGCTAGTATTTGTAACTTCATAATCCAAGACAGAAGGGTCCATGTGCCAATTTCAAGAATTAGCACCTCTAAGACAGAATGATCTGCCTGTCTACACACCCCACCCCAATAAAAGATTTTCACTCCTTAATCAGTTTCTGCCCCCCAAATGGCAGCTTTAGTAAGTTATTAACTGGTTTAGTCCTTTGTTGGTAACAGCATTAAGTTTGGGCAAGAAACGCCTTGGCTTATAAATTTCAGGCACTCAGTCTGTGAGTCACACAGTCCTCATTCATGTCACCAGTGACATATTTGGAAAAGATAAAATATTCTAGACATAGAAACAAATCATCATTGGTTGTTTGTGTTTTCCATTATTTCACCATTACTCCAGTGAGGCCCCAATTGTAACAAAAATGATCCCACCCACCTCCCTTCCTCCCCAGCCCATCACCCCCACCCCAAATAACATACCAGAAATAGTCTAAAACTTCACACATGCCAGTCTGTGAGAATGTGGGGTTGACACTACTGGGAAGCGGGCTGTGGGCCATGGAGATGCTTTTCGGAGATCCACAGAATCCTTTTGCTCACCCGCACACCCATTCTGCAAATTTGTCCTCATAAGAGGCCCTTTGCTGTTCTCAGTCAAGGGCAGGATGGGTTGCTTGAAACACTTACTCTTCCCCTCCCTGGGGTGGATATGCAAACAGTGCAGCAGGGAACAACTTTAAAGTCCCGTGGGGCACAGAAACTCTGCTGGCTCTTCAAAGGACATCTTCTCAAGCCACCTCTGTGCTGCCATGAAGTAGAATGTCCAACCCAGCTGGACAGGGACTAGTCCTCGGGAGAGTCTGTTCTGGTCTCTTATTTGTTGTTTACTCCGAGGGGCCAGGATGCCACCTCAGTCTTTCCTCACTGAAGGATAAGACAACCTGTGGGCCCTTGTGTTGGCTTCCTTGGCAGGGACCAGGTCCTCCTCATCGAAGTTTCCCCATTTCATCCAGTTCTCCCCTATGGTCTGCAGCTGCTCAGGCTCCCCGTCCTGGCAAAGCCTTGTGGATTTTCTCACTCTCTTCTTTCTTCTTCTTTAGCTTGTTCTCCTCTCCTTTATCTTCAGGATCAGTCAGCAAAGCTTGCCTCTGTCTGCGCTATCTGTCTCCAGTGTTGTCTTCCGTGATGGCAGAAACTCAGCTGTGAGACAGGGCACTCCAGTTCTCTGGTTCCCTCCAGGTGTGCTCACCTGAGACCCCTGTCCCCAGCAGGCTGAGCTTCACTGTGCCCTCGCCCTCCCCCACCCAGATCAGACCTTTTTTTTTTCCTATAAGAACTAAGATTTATTTTATCAGAAGAATCACAAGAACTGGGGTACAGGCCACAGGTACGGGGGGTGAGAGGACTCACCAGAGACAGAGTGGGGAGCATAACAGGCAGACTGACTGAAATACACTGCTGAGGGGAGCAGCGGGTGAGTCAGGAGAGGTCTGCTGCGCCACGTGGGTTGCTCCCTGGCCGGAGATTGAACTCATGCTGCAGTGGCTGCAGACAGCTTCACAGTGCTGAGACTTTAACCTCTGCGCCACCAGGGAGGCCCTAGGTCAGAGCTTTTTCCCACTCCATGTTCCTCCTCCTCTGCTAGCCCCTCCTCCACTCTCTTCTAGCTGTCTTCTCCCCATAGAGCCCACCCGCTTTCTGGTATAAAGGGTGACACTGCTCAGAGCAGCACCCACAAGCCCCAGAAGAGGTGCCCTTGCTATTGGTGCCACCTAGGGAGGCAGGGGTTGGGGGGTGGCGCCCTGAAAAGAGAAAAGTGAGGAGCCAGGACCCAGGTGACCTTGGTAGAGTCCTCACTGAGTAGGAGCACCGCAGGCCCTCCAAGTTTTGGTTTTTAAAGCAGAACATGAGAGACACTCAGATAGCTGGGGGAAATGGAATATAAACGGGATGCCATCTCGTATGAAACCTGTTAATTTTCTTAAGTGAGATAACAGGACTGTGGTTACATAAGTCAACATTCCCCACCCTTCAGAGAGGAACTATTTAGGGGTGAAAATTTGCACTATCTATAACTTACTTTTAAATGGGTCAGAAAAACTATGAAGAGAAAGGAAATATGGCAAACACATTTACACACTTAAATCCACATGGAAGCTCCTCTGTACCGAGTTTTTTTTTTTTTTTTTTTTAAAGATTTATTTATTTATTTATACAAGCACTGGGTACAGTCAGAAGTGCGGGAGGGTGAGAGAACTCACCAGAGCCAGAGCGGGGAACAGAACAGGCAGACTAACGAAGTACACTGATGAGGGGAGCAGCGGGCAGCAGGAGAGGTCTGTAGTGCCATGTGGGACCCTTGCTGGTGACCGGGGATCGAACCGGCGCTGCAGAGGCTGCAGGCAGCTTTGCAGCCCAGCACTCAACCACTGCGCCACCAGGGGAGGCCCCATGTTTGAATCTTAACTTAGAAGTTTGGGGATGTTTTTGTGACCAGAAAAACACCATAGGAACTTAACTCTTGTTTCTATCAATTAGCCTATGGTGAATTTGGTTCCTTTCTACATTGTTTTGCTTAAAGTTGCAGTTTCCAAGAACCTAATGAAGATATTAAATGAGGACTTGATGTATAAGAATAAGTACACTGGCATGCTGGAAGGAAATGCACTAACATGTTAAGTGGAATAATGGGCATTTGGGTGACTTTATTTTTCTTTCTGCTTGCCTATAACTGCTAAGATTTTTCTGGAAGGAATACTTATATAAAATAAACACATAAGAAAAAGGAGGATGCTAGCAAGAGCTCTTGCCTGGGGAGGGTTAAGGGAAAAGATGCATATTGAAGGAGATCTCTCTAAGCCCTAGATCAGTCCTGGGTGCCCCTCTAGGGTGAGCCTCTATGACCAAAACTGGAGAATGGGATCGCCAGAGGATGTCCAGCTTCCTTCTAGCTCCAAGTTCTTTTGTTTTCCAGATGTTTGGGGCCTTCTCCTCCTCGGCTATTCGATGCAGCAAAGGCTTCTATGGTACTGGCGAGACATTCCTCTACTCCTTCTCGCCAGAGCTGAAGGTGATATTACCAACCTTTGGGGGTGGGAGGAAGGAGTGGGATCTAGGGCAGGACAAAGATCCTTCTTTCCACAGAGGGAATGCAGCAGGGCAGTGTGGGCAGAGCATTCCCCTTGGCCTGCTCAGCTTATTTTTTCAGCTTATTTTTTAAAAATGCTGAAGTCCCCAGCAACCACTGTCTAGCTCTGATTGGGAGAGGGTTGTTGCTCACCAAACACAGGCTGAAAAGAGATGGGTCCAAGGGCAGGGAGGCCTGTGGGTGTGGTGGTCAGAAGATGAAAACAGATGTGTCCTTTGGCTTCTATTTTCTCAGGACTTGCTGAGTAAAGTCATCGGCTGTGAGTGAGGATAGTGGAGCGGGTGTGAAGGTTGATGGGAGTGAAGGTATCAAATAGTCATCACGGGAGCCAAAGGGGAAGCCTGCTAGAGAAAAGTAGACACAGGACAGCAGGGCAGTGTTGGAGGTGGTGCTCCATTCAGCACCTTGGGTCCAGGCATGGAAAGTGAATGTGAGGATTCAGCTGTGACTGGGGTTTTGCTAAGCTGGTGGACAGATGGAAAAGGAAGTTGACGGGAGGGGCCTCCCTGATGGCACAAGGGGTTAAGTCTCAGCACTATGAAGCTATCAGCAGCCACTGAAGCATGAGACCTCTTCTGTTTCCTATCACCTGCCCGCTGCTCCCCTCAGCAGTGTCTTCTGTCAGTCTGTCTGTTCTGCTCCCCATGCTATTAATGGTGAATCCTCTCACCTCCCCACCCCACCCCTGCACCTCTGGCCTACACCCAGCTCTTTTATGCATAAATAAATCTTTTTTAAAAAAGGAATTTGAGGGCCTCCCCTGGTGGTGCAGCGGTTGAGCGCTGGGCTGTGAAGCTGCCCGCAGCCTCTGCAGCGCAGGTTTGATCCCTGGCCACTGACAAGGGTCCCACATGGCGCACAGACCTCTCCTGCCGCCTGCTGCTCCCCTCAGCAGTGTATTTCATTAGTCTGCCTGTTCTGTTCCCTGCTCTGGCTCTGGTGAATTCTCTCACCCTCCCGTGCTTCTGAATGTACCCAGTGCTTGTCTAAATAAATAAATAAATCTTTAAAAAAAAAAAAAAGGAATTTGAAGGAAGTAGAAATATAAAATGGACCACAGGCAAGGAGGGCAGGGAAACCAGATGGGGACTGAAGCACAATGAAATGCAGATGGAATCGGGGCCATGAGAGCTTATCTTGAAGTCAGAGACTAGGAGTGGTGATACTTGTTGAACCCTTGTGCCGGAATACAGGATACAGAGGGACATTTTAAACAGACTGGTAAAGTCAAGTCCTTGAGTGTGACCACAGGAGACAGTGGTGAGGTGGGTGTAAGAAAACCCACTAGAGAGGAAGGAGTTGAGGGGCAGGCATTGGGTGGAGACAAGTGGATGGTGAAGATCACTGAAGGCAATGACAGGAATGGGGAAGGAGGGGAAGAGGGTGAACCAGGCTCAAGTAACTGGTGACTAGGAGATGGGTCAATGACAGAAACAAGACGAATGGGGCCATCAGATAGCACCAGATGCCAGGGAGCCTTTGAAGGAGGGAGAATAATTGTAAGTATCTCTCATCCACAGCTTTTTCTGTCTCTGGACTATTTACTGAACAAAACCACTGAGCATGCTACTTTCTTTTTATTTTTAAAAAGATTTATTTATTTATGCATACAAGAGCTGGGGTGTAGGCCAGAGGTGCTAGGTGGGGGGTGGGGGTGTGTGAGAGGTTTCGCCAGAGACAGAGTAGGGAGCAGAACAGGTGGATCTACTGAAATACACTGCTGAGGGGAACAGCAGGTGAGATAGGAGAGGTCTTCTGCACTATGTGGGTCAGATTCCTGGCCAGGGATTGAACTCATGCTGCAGTGGCTGCTGATAGCCCGGTAACACTAAGACTTAACCCCTTATGCCACCAGGGAGGCCCAGAGCATGCTATTTCACTAACACAAACAGTAGCAGCTAACCTGCATAGTTTACTGGCTGTTTCTGAGACTTTCACAAGTTAGAGCATTGAATCAGCAAGTTATGAGGTACATATCATTATCATCCCCATGTTACAAGAAGGGGAAGCTGCCGGGAAAAACATGCCCAAGGCCACACATCCTTAGTGGTAAGGATGAGAGGTGGAAAAAGGTCTTTGAGCTTGAACTTAGCCAAAAGCACTGCATGATTTCTCTAAACCACAGTCACTGCCTTGAGATGCTCCCAGAGAGGTTCAGGATACAGAATGATAAATGCTATGGCAGAAGCACAAAGGAAGAGCACCTTTATGAAGTGGGGTGGGAAAACCAAAGGACACTTCCTAGAGGAGGAGCTTCTTGAGCTGGGTCCTGGTAGACAAATAGAACATCACCTGGTGATGTAGAGCATAAGGAGCAGTTTTCTTGGGCTCAGAAACTGAAGAGAAGGGGAAGCACGTTTAGGAACCAAGAGATGGGTGGGAGAGGGAGAAGAGTATAAGGGAGAACCTTACCCTCCCCATTAGCCCTCAAGAAATATTTGTTCAGTGGATTAAGAACTGGTTTCAAGTGCTTGGGTTTGCTACTAGAGACATCCTCTGAAATGCACAGACCAAGACACTTACAGATACATCCAGCCACACAACCATCTTGTCCATGACAAGGAATTAAGGAGATCTCTGTTTCTGTATTTCATTGTTGGCATTGTTGGACTAGTTATCAGGAAAGAGGTCAGTGGTCAGTTATTCATGGTGAACCTAGGTTAGATTCTAGTTATCACCACTTGCCTTCCTATAGTCACCTACTGTAATTCTAAAGTTCTAGAATTTTCTCCTACAACACTGGTAACTCCTTGGTAGAATCCTTTGCTAGTTCCTCCTCATTTCCTCAACCTTTTAACATCAGAGGGCTCTGGAACTACTTTTGGCTGTCATCTCTTCTCTGACTGCCCTCATTTCCTTTGAGATCTTATCCATTCCATCCATGCCATCTGTGTACTAACAGCCTATTCCCTTGGACTCAAAACTCACATATCTGACAGCAATCCAGTGTCACCAGTCAGATCCTAAGCATGGCATGTCAAATTTCACATGTCCAAAACTGAGTTTCTTACTTAACCACACATCTGCTCCTTCTGCCACCTTCCCCAGCAAAGCTAGTGGAACCACCATCTGTCCTGCTACTGATAACCAAAAACTCTGGAGTCCTTCCTAACTCCTTTTTCTTTCTTTCACACTCTACATCTGGGCTATCAACAAATCCTGATGACTCTGCCTTCCCTCTCTATCTCTATTAGAATCCACCATTTCTCACCATGTCCTTTGCTGTTGCCCTGGTTCAAGTCACCACCATTACTTGCCTGTGTTACTGTGATAGCCTCCTAATGGGTCTCCTTGCTTGCCCTTTCAGTCATCACATAGCTGGAGTGATCCTTTTAAAAGGTAAGTCAGAGCATATCACACAAGTCTTTATAATAACCTACAAGTTTCTATGTCTCCTGACCTTTCTCTGAATTGTTTCTTCCTACTTTGCCTTTCCTTCACTCTACTCTAGACACAACTCTACTACCTCAGGGCCTTTGCACATGCAGTTTTGCTAGAGTGCTGTCCATCAGATGTCCACATAGTTTGGTTTCACCTCCTTTAGGTCTCAAGTGTCACCAACTCAGCAAGGCATCCTTCCTGACCATCTGACTTAACTTTACAACACTTCATGCCCTGGAAACCCTTACTTCCCTTCTCTACTTTATTCTCCTTAGCATGTCACCAACTAACATATTATTTAGTCACTATTTAATATAGTGCCTAAAATGGTGCCTGGGGTAAAATGCTAAAAAAGCGTTGTTGAATGAATGACTTTTCCAGAGTGTTGCTCTGTCTTCCCAGCCTGTTGTTAGGACACTTATCTTTTAAAAACTTGGTTAATTTTGTCTGCCTTTGGTCTTTTGGCACTTCTTGAGTTAATGAATTTCTAGCAGTTCCTTGATAGCTATTCCCAGCACTACCATGAACAAGGTCTTAATTTCTTCTGCAGCAATGCTTATCTCATTCCTTCAAGTTTGAAGGTCAGCTTCCTTGATGAAAGTAGAGGAGTTGAATGGTTCTATCTCCTTGTGCTTACTTGTTAATATTATCTCTTCTGAGCTCAAGGCTTATCTTTTATTCATCCACTTTCTTGCTAAAAATCCTTTGATTGTTCACAGCATTTTTTTGGCAACTAATTATAGGCAATAATATACTGTACTTTTGCAGCCCTTTAAACATCTTATAATTTATTCATTCCACAAACATCTATACCTTGTGCTAGGAATATTGCCAGGAGTCAGGACAACCCTCACAGAGTTTACATGTTAATGGGTACACTGACACATGAACAGGGTCATAAAAAGCAGGGTCTGGGAGGAAGGGTTAAAGATTTTTTAATTTATTTATGCATACAAGAACTGGGGTGTAGGCCAGAGGTGTAGGGGATGAGAAGATTCACCAATTACAGAGTGGGGAGCAGAACAGGCAGATCTACTGAAATACACTGCTGAGGGGAGCAGCAGGCCAGATAGGAGAGGTCTGCTGTGCCATGTGGGTTAGCTCCCTGGTGGGGGATTGAACTCATGCTACAGTGGCTGTCAATAGCTTGATAGAGCTGAGACTTAACCCCTGTACCACCAGGGAGTCTCAGAAAGGGTTACTTTAGATAGGTGGTCCAGAAAATTTCTCTGTGATGACAGTTGGGTTAAAAGAAGTGGCCATTTGAGGATCTGAAGGAAGAACGTTCTGGGGAGAGGGATCAGCAGGAATGAGCTGTGGTACCTCAGGAACAGAAAAGCCAGTGTAGCTGAAGTGGCTGTCATAAGGAGGAGAAAAAGTCAGAGGTAAAATCAGGGATCAGAGTAAGGTGGGCTTTTGACTATAGTCAGGAGTTGGATTTTATTCCCATTGCAATGGGAAACCTTTAGAGTTTTATCCAGTTAGACTTTGAATATCACTCATATTGCAATGTGGACATGGACTGTGAGCAGGAGACCGTGGAAGCAGAGAGAATCACTGGGAGGCTGAGGAGGGTGAGGAGAGACTATGGTATGGATTGGGTGGTATGGATTGGGTAGGCAAGGGTGAGCAGAGATGGAAGGGACAATGCTGGAAGTCAGTGTGTCTTTGGGGTGGATCCTGCTGGCCTTACTGCTTCAGAGGGCTCTGGTATATTTCTAGAACAGAGGGTTTTGGGAATTCAGACTGGAGGGCAAGAGTAAATGTACTTCCTCTAAGGAGACTGGAAAGAAATTTCAAGAGCTAAGTGCCCAGAGTACTTAGTGGGTGCCTGGATGTTGCGCCCTTTACAACACTGCCACCTCGTGGTATGGAATCAAACCAAAAGGGAAAGACACGTCTAGTAACCTGAGCCTTTTCCTATCATCCCAGGTCTTTAAGTGGACAGGAAATAACTCTTTCTTTGTGAAAGGAAACTTGGATTCACTAATGATGGGCAGTAGCAGGTACGTGTATTAATCATCCCCGAGTCTCGGGTGGTCTGTGTTCTGGTCCCTTTTCCTGTCTGGAAAGGCTGGGTGAGGCTGCCTCTGACAAAATGAGGAGGCTGATAGTTAACTTTTAGGTCTCCTCCTTCCATACCCCCAGGTGCTACCAACTCCCCCAGCCAACTCCCTCAACTCCATTCTAAATCAACATTGAGAGGGAATGATGGCATGAACTCTCCCCCAAAGTCTTACAGTTGGTGACAAGTTAGTCTGGATTTATATAACTTTGGGAACAACATTCCACATGGCTGGATAAAGCTGGAGGCAAAGGATGGGCAAACCTCAAATTTACCTGTCAGTCCCATGATCCCAGCAGATGTAACTCCCTGGAAAAAGCTGGCATCTGCCCAGAAATCTGGCCTACGAGTCTGTGTGCACGTGTGCATTGGTGTGTGGGTTGGGGGATGGGCGGTGAAGTGGATTAGGAAGAAAAGGGTAGTCGGCCCCTGGTGTGACCTGCAAATTCAGGCAGAACAAATCTTATCCTGAGGGCAAAGATGAAAGCATTGCTTCATTAGTGCCAGGCAAATTCCTTGCTATCCCAATGGCCTCCACAAGAAGCAGGTTGGCACAGAACAAACCAATCAATCAGTGCTGATTGGCATTACTCACTTCCAGCTCCAGCTTGCTTTCTGTCAGATGAGAGGACTAGACTGGATGCTCTCTGACGTGTTTTGGGCTCAGAATCCACGGCTGTTAGACACTCCTGTGATTAAATACTACATCCTAAACTGTTCCAAAAGTTCTAAAACTGGACTGTGATCATGGTTGTATCACTCTATGTATTTATTAAAATCAATGAATTGCAAAAAAAACCAAACACCCTTTATATCCTGTGGGGAACAGCATGCTGAGTCCCCAGCAATTCATGATACATCAGTTTAGGGGAAGACGAAACTGGCAGAAAGGAGCTGTGGTAGTGTGGCCAAGGGCCAGTCATGCGGATCTGAATAGTCTCACACCCAGGAGGGAGACATGCCAAGACTTTGCACTTCTCCCTAGTGGCCAGTTTGGTCTTTGGATGGATGGAGACTTGTACCATGGTGGGAGCCATCCCTGTGCAACCTTCAACAACGAGGTGCTGGCCCGGCAGGAGCAGTTCTACATCCAGGAGCTGGAGGCCTGGGTTCTGAGCTGATGCCCCGCAGTGGACAGCTTCCTGAGGCAACAGGTGCTTGGACGAGCTCACACCGCCACCCAGGCCTCTTACACAGGGCAGCCCATTCAGTCCCAAAGTGGATGGCAAAGTGTTGACTGTAGCTGTTAGCCAAACCCCCTGTGGTCTCTGAACCCAAAACAGGCATGGGTGCAGAAACTGTTCTCCAGAAGAGGTACCTTTGAAGGAGTGAAAGGTATTTATACCTCATCTGAGCAGTGCAAAGCACTTCATGTAAATTATCTTTTTAGAAATTATACATGTTTATGGACCTCCCTGGTGGCACAGGGGTTAAAGGCTCAGCGCTATCAATAGCTATAGCCAGCCATTGGAGCATGAGTTTGATCCCTGGCCAGGGAGCTAACCCACATGGTGCAGCAGACCTCTCCTGTCTTGCCCACGCTCCCCTCAGCAATGTATTTCAGTAGATCCTCCTCTTCTGCTCTCTACTCTGTCTCGGGTGAATCCTCTCACCCCCCGCACCTCTGGCTTACATCCCAATTCTTGTATGCATAAATAAAATAAAAAGAAATCTTTTTTAAAAAAGAAATTATACATGTTTATTGTAGAAAAAAAGATACAAACATTACCTGAAATTCAACCCTCCCCTCCAATACTAACATTTTCATGTCTATCTTTCAGAAAATTTCCCACGGAGAGAGAGATTTTTAAAAATGGGATTCTGCAATGTATGTTTTAGAAATTATTTTAAAGAAAATTAAACCCATAGAACCTGGGTTTAACTGGTGAAATAAAGACTCTGTTAGCTTCAATTTTTTTCTGTAACATTGAGGCCTGTCTACTGCCAGTGTGCCAGGTGCTTGCAAATCTCTAATTTCACAGGGAAGATATGAATGCAGCAAATGAAAGGTATGCATAATAGAATAAAGAAGTTTATAACAAAGAATAAAGGTATGCATATTAGAATAAAGGGACTTTATTTATGTTAGAATAAAGGAACCCTGAAAGGCTAAAATGGAGGATATTTTCTGGCACAACAGGAGATCAGAAAAATAAGAAAAATCCATATCCGTTCCCATGCTACTGCCTGCTTCCTACTAGAAGGAAAAACTTCGCTATTATCCACCATTATTAACAGAAGGAAATCAAGTAACACTGGCCTGTTAAATACAGCCCCCTTGCAGATATACCATCAAATATCTGGGTGGATTCCTAGAAAAAACACATCTCCTTTGAACAAAAGGGTTAAAGCTGGACACATAAGACTGAGATAAAGTCATTAAGAAACATACCTTTAGTTTCAAGATGGAAATACATTCATGAAGTTTTATTGCAGCTATTTCCTCACCCAAGCATCATTTTAACTTGCACTTCTATTTACATTCTGAAGGTGACAATGTTAACTAACTCTAGAGGTAAAGTTGTTAAAGTCTCCATTTTTATAATAGTGAAGATGTTTAAGAAAAATTTAACATTGTAAATGACACATGGTTCTTTTACAATTAAAACAGTTGCAAAGGACATAAAGTGCAGCTGCCTTATAAGTAACAAAAGATGCAAATGGAAAAGATTCAAGTTGTTTTTCGGATAGCAAAGTGATACAATACTGGGTCTACAAAATTCTAGAGTAGATAAAAATTATTTAAAGGTAGGAGTTACAAAAATAAAACCATCTTAGCAGAAAAACATTACATTCTTAACCTTGGGTTGAGTCAAATGGTTCTCCCCACTGAAAGTTTTAGAGGCACCAATGGCCAAAACAGGTATGACCCTGTTTAATGGCCCACCTCATCTGTGCTTCTATGAGCCTCCATTTGAACACACCTCACACTCACAGAATCATGGTGGGGGAGAGAGAGCAGAATTTTCACTGTTCTCCTATGATTTACAATGAAATCTTGATTACCTACTGAGGGATGCTGGAGGGGGTATAATACAGAATGGCATACATTCCAAGTGGCACATAATTTTCACCCCAGTGCCAACAGAAGCTGGTTACACAGTGGTAGGTGGCAGTATTCTAAGACTCTGAGGTGAGTCTCTTGGCAGGTTCTCAGTGCTCCCTTCCTCCCACTTGCTTTTGCCCAAGCCAGCGCTGGCTCCCTATTCCCAGTCAATCAAGGAGGGCCTCATAAGGGAGTGTGAAGTCAGGGACTCGTCGCTAACACTCCCTACTGCCTTGTATCTTCAGGACCAAACCCGGAGGCTTCAGCATTAACATTAGACTTTGCTCATGGTGAACTTCTGTAGAACTGGGGATGAGGGAGGGGGGTGTGTGTGTGTGTGTGTATGTGTGTGTGTAGGGGTGCCCTCAGTGCAGGAATACTGTTCAACTACTGCTACCTCACAGCTAGAGACAAAGAGTAAGTGCTGGGGACATCCAGTTACACGGGATCCTGAAATTTAGGGGTAATCATTCATCTCAGCACAGACATATCAATCTTTGCTCTGAAACCTATAAATTGCACCAACCTAGCAAAAAATGAAGTCTCAGTTCTGAGTAGCCCTGAGGATGATTCCTGTGAAGAATTCTGACCAGCTCAAGGGAGGTGACAGAGCTGGTCAGAAGGCAGCCTTCTCCACACCACCAGTGGTAAAACCCTCGGGACTCAGGCAGTGGGTATTCAGGAGAGTCTGGAACTGTAAATGAGCCCAAGAACAGCCTGGTTTGGGGAATCCCTCTGGCACCAGGTGCATGGGTTTCCCAAAAGGTAGTCTATGTCCCACTTCAGAGGAGGCCGGAGCTCTTAGACCTTCTCAGTAAATTAATCAGAGTTAGAGCCCACTCCTGGCCCTCAACTATTGACTACAACTGAGCAGCTTACAAGGGGTAAAAGGGTTGAGCGAATGGTGTCTTTTACATTCAGACCACTTACAGAGAACTAGCCTCAAATATGGGGTGATGGGCAACTCCTCAGGGCTAGGATTTTAACCATGGTTGTTCATGACAATCCCAATGTCAAATTGCAGTGTGCACCTTTGTCTCATTTAAAAAAAATAAAAAAACAATCATATATCATAAGAGTTAAAAGGAAGTTATTCTAAGAAAATAGGTGACTAAAGGAGAAGCCTTAATGAATATTTAAAAAAGGGCAAGATAATGCTTTTCACAGCATGTATACAGCAAAATTTGCCCAATATGTCTTTATCTTTGAATAAAAATTTCTTAGATTTAGCATGTGTATACATTCAAAATATAAAAAGTACTAGTTTTCACTAAATTTGAAGAGCAAGCTCTATGATCAAATTTCCTAAATTAATGAATTGTTTTGGATTAATGAACTTAATGAATTGATTGCAGACATTCACACGTCTTTGTTCTTGAAAAGCTGGACTCTGGATTTGGATGCTTCTCGACGGAAATCTGGATTGTGATTCCACTCACCTTTTAGAGGTGTTATAAGTGGGGCTACAACATCGCCATCCTGTTAAGGAGAAAAAAAAAAAACTAGAGACAGAAAAGCCAGTTTTTCTAATTTTGGGTGAAAGTTTCAGGGACACACACCTTGTCTTGCAGAAAGAATGTACTGTTTGCTCATTTGGCTCTGTTGAAACTTTATCTCTTCCCCCATATTAACTTTCTTTTGTTCAACAACATTGGGCCCGACTTGACAAAGCTATTAAAAGCAGTCATTCAGCTGCCATAATACTCATATACCTGAAAGACCTGTCTGTCTCAAAGTCAACCATTATTTGTCTTCAAATTCACCTCTATTTCTACCAAACTTTCTTATTCCTACTCATTCTAATTTCTACTCTAGTGGATTTTATAAAATGCAAAGTTGTAACTCTCCTGCTTAAAACATATTAAAGGCTCTCCTCTGCTCTTGGCTTACAGAATTATGCATATCCCAGACCCCATCCCTAAATGCACCATGTGCTCTCTCATCTTCCAGTCTCCCAGGCCTCCTTTACCTAGGTGACTTTTCTCATCTAGTTCACTCTTCAGCTTCTAAGTCCTTCTTTAAAAATAGGCCTTTCCCAGCTGAACAAGTCAGGTTAAAAGCATCTTCCTTTTTGTTCCTCTAAAACTCTGTGCCCTCCTCCCCTCCGAAGTACATATTTTATTTTTTTAAGATTTATTTATTTATTTATACAAGAACTGGGGTACAGGCCAGATGTGCGGGAGGGTGACAGGATTCACCAGAGACAGAGTGGGGAACAGAACAGGCAGACTGACGAAATACATTACTGAGGGGAACAGCAGGCACAACAGGAGAGGTCTGCTGCGCCATATGGGACCCTCGCCAGCTGGCGGGGATTGAACCTGAGCAGCAAAGGCTGCAGACAGCTTCACAGCGCTGCGCTCAACCACCTGCACCACCAGGGGAGGCCCCGAAGTACTTATTGTGTCACTGTAAGTATTTATATCTCTGATCTATCCAAAGGACATAAAAACATTAATTCAAAAGGACACCTGCACTCCTATGCTTTTTGCAGCACTAATTACAATAGGTAAGCTATGGAAACAACCCAAATGCCCAAAAATAGATGACTGGATCAAGAAGATGTGGTATAGGGCCTCCCTGGTGGTGCAAGGGGTTAAGACGCAACCTATGAAGCAATTAGCAGCCTCTGCAGCACGAGTTCAATTCCCTGGCCGGCCAGGGAGCAACCCACATGGCGCAGCAGACCTCTCCTGTCTCACCCACTGCTCCCCTCAGCAGTGCACTTTGGTCAATATGCCTGTTCTGCTCCCCACTCTGTCTCTGGCAAATCCTCTCACCCTCCACACCTCTGGCCTGTACCCCAGTTCTTGTATGTATAAATAAATAAATCTTTAAAAAAAAAAAAAAGAAGGTGTGGTATATATACACAATGGAATATCACTCAGCAATCAGAAAAGATAAACTCATGTCATTCACAGCAACATGGATAGAGCTGGAAGGGATCATGCTCAGTGAAATATGCCAGAAAGAAAAAGAAAAATATCGGATGGTTTCACTTATAGGAGGAATGTAGAGGATCCAAATAAGGGATCAGAGAGAAAAAAAAGTAATTATAATAAAATCAAAATCAAAATCAAGAGGCAACTATAAACCAGAGACATTCTGCAGGGGAAGAGAAGGGAGTAGGATCAAAACAAAGGAGGGAAGAGCACAAGGGACTATGGTGATAGTACACAGGTGAACTGGTGGTGGGAATTTCATGGGAACTATAACTGAGATGAGAAAGCATACATTGTACAAAAATGAAGACTGATGTAAAATAATATATAAAGTAAAAAAAAAATTATGTATACCTGTGTTTGCAAACCCCAACCAGAGTGAGGTCCAAGTGAGCTACATGTCTTAGGAACTATATGTCTTAGTAACCCTGGTATCTAACACAAGGCCTGGCAAAAATACCCATTCGTTGAATGAATGTACCTAGATTTAAAGTAGCTAAACCTTAATAGCCTCGTATCTCTGCTTCCAAACTCTCCAATGCACAATCCATCCACTGCTAGTTTTCTTTCTACCTCAGAGGTTTAGTTTCCCTGGTGCTACACCTCCTGAGATTTACTTCCTTATTCCCACGGATCTCACTCTAGTTGGAGATGACAAACACAGAATAATTACAGTAACATGGTAACTTGAATATTCTTGAGGATTCTCTCCTACTAAACATGAGAAAATGTTCATTAGCTGATTTTCCAAAGTTCTTTATAATCTAGTCTACTCTTCAAGTTTAACCTCTCACTACTCAATAATAAGAATCTTCTGCTCTGTCGACAGGCCTCCTCAAAATCCCTAAACACACTCAGCTTGTTCCAATCCCATTCCTCCGTTATTCATTACCAAATATATCCATCCTGTCTCTCTGTTATCTAACCAAATACAATCCAGCCTTCCAGACCCAACAGAGTCCTCCCTCCTTCACAGGCTTTTCTGAGTTTTCCCATCTCTCTGAATCCTACCAGGACTCACCTGGCATGTGACAAAGTGCCCACGTGCCAGCCAACTCTTTCATGCCTGATCTTTTGTTATTGTTCCCTTCAGCACCAGACACAGAGGGGAGAGAGGAAGCGATAGTGCAGAGAGAGCACTTAATTAGGGAGTCAAATGAGGTTTCCTACCTGTCCGCCAATTACATTCATTCATTCATTCAGTTGCCAGGTCCTGATTGGTCATTATCTCTTTCCCAGATACTTAATACATGTAGGTCAATAAGGGATAATTTTTTTTTTTAAGATTTATTTATTCATCCATACAAGCACTGGGTACAGTCAGAAGTGTGGGAGGGCGAGAGAATCCACCAGAGTCAGAGCAGAGAGCACAGCAGGCAGAAGGACCAAAGTACACTGCTGAGGGGAGTAGTAGGCGGCAGGAGAGGTCTACTCAACATGTGGGATCCTCGCCTGGGGGCTGGGGATCAAACCAGTGCTGCAGAGGCCGCGGGCAGTCCAGCGCTCAACCGCTGTGCCACCGGGGAGGACCAATTAGGGATAATTTTAACAACATTTTCTATAGGATTGGCAACTACAATTGGGTTCTTCTTCCCTCTGTTCTCTTATTTCAGAGAATTTAAATAGTTTACAGATTTTGATAATGCTGAGTTTCAAATATTAAGTTAGAAAATGTAGTATCAGTTCTATGTGTCCTTTTTAAAAAAGATTTATTTATTTATTTATTTATTTATTCATTCATTCATTCATTCATTCATTCATTCATTCATTTATACGAGCACTGGGTACAGTCAGAAGCGCGGGAGGGCGAGAGAATTCATTCATTCATTCATTCATTCATTTATTTATACGAGCACTGGGTACAGTCAGAAGCGCGGGAGGGCGAGAGAATTCACCAGAGCCAGAGCGGGGAGCAGAGCAGGCAGAAGGACCGAAGTACACTGCTGAGGGGAGCAGCGGGCGGCAGGAGAGGTCTGCGCGCCATGCGGGATGTGGGACCCTCCTCCGGTGGCCGGGGAGCAGCTGGGGATCGAACCGGCGCTGCATAGGCTGCAGGCAGCTTCGCAACTCAGCACTCAACCGCTGCGCCACCGGGAGAATCTGTCCTTTTTTTTTTTTTTTAAAGTTTTTTTTAAATTTATTTATACAAGCACTGGGTACAGTCAGAAGCACGGGAGGGTGAGAGAATTCACCAGAGCCAGGGCGGGAAGCAGAACAGGCAGACTGACGAAGTACACTGCTGAGGGGAGCAGTGGGTGGCAGGAGAGGTCTGCGCACCATGTGGGACCCTCGCCCGGCGGCTGGGGATTGAATTGGCACTGCAGAGGCTGCGGGCAGCTTTGCAACCCAGTGCTCAACCGCTGCGCCACCAGGGGAGGCCCAGTTTTATGTGTCTTTAGACAAGTTAACTACTCAGCTTTGGTAACCTTCTCTGAAAGATAAGGACACTAGAACATTCCTTGTAGTGTCAGTGGAGGGGACTGGATGAGATGAGCAGTGAGGTTATAAAGTACTATTTACATGTTCAGCACATTAAACTTTTATCATTAGGACATTAGGACATGAGGTTAATTTCTTTTCATACGAGAAAAATCAGCTATCTTCCAGGCTCCTAAGCTCTGTTCTTAATGTGGTATTAAAAGCACCACTGACTATCAGTGTAGGAAGAAATCACTGGTTCACACAGCTGAGACATTTTAAAAAGGAAAGCCTAAGGTATACAAATAAATTTCAAAAATCATAACCAACCCACTATAATTTAAATGAGAACATTTCCAAGAGAATTTGGTTTTCACTTAAAAATTTTAAATTGTACAGTTTGTGAATAATAGGCTACCCACCTGTGGCTTGGTGAAATCTCTGATTTTACACCAATTAACAAAATGCTGTTGTGCTGCGTACAAACTCTTTTTATCTGTCTTCTTACAGTAAACTCGAATTAACTGCTCTGCAAATCTCTCTGGCAAAAGCCGTGAAACCTTTTTAAAAAAGAAAAGATTTCACTGTTACCTTGAATTCACACAAGAGAAATTACCTACCTTCCAGGCTCCTAAACTCCATTCTTAATGTACTATTAAAAGCACCACGATGTCTTGCTATTTTATCCCAAATATAATCCGAAGGGAAACATTCAAGATAGTCATCATATTGCAAAATGTCCCACAACTTTATGTCAATTAGTAACAGGCCAGTATTCTGTATTCTTAACCAAGTCTCTAAACCAAAAGCATCATTTTCATCTATGTTAAGCAAGCAGAAAAAACTATCAAGATGGTCTAGTCTATACAAAACCAGGTGGTACACTTTAATTTTAAAGATAAGCTTTTACTTTTACTGTACACACTGATTTTACAACCTGAACTGCATGCAGATGTACTCTAGAGATTTACTAAATTCCACTGTGGGATATTTATTTTTTATAGGTAGTTACCTGTTCTTTTGTAATCATGATGGCTTTGTTGGGGTCAGTCTTACAATAGAAGCGAACATGATCAATTGGATTCTTGTCTTCCATTCCATAATCCATATTGATAACCTTAATAAAAGCAGGAAATAAGTGCTCACATAGTAACTGAGAATTGAGTTCAGGGTATGATATGGATCACAGCTCTCTGGAGGTTCAGAAGGAAAAGCACTGATTAAGGGAGTTTATAGTGCACGACCCACAGGAATTTGGTCATGAAGTCTGGGTGTGGGGGTTAGGTACTTGTGCTTTCAATATGAGTTGGCATAAAGTCAATACCTACTACATGACAGACAATGTTGTAGGCACAAGAAATATAAGGAAGCTTGACACAACCCCAGCACCAACAGACCATGTAGCCTAGACTGAAGTTGGACCAATAATTATAACATTATCTAGCCACTATCAGAATTACCCAGGAAAAGTAGAGGGTGCTGTGAAACTCTGGAGCCTGATAGCATGGAGCTTTGAAAGAATGACTGGAAGTATCTTCCTAGGAAAGTGACTTTATGAAATAAGTAGGAATTAACCAGGCCTACGAAGGAAAGAATTCCAGGCAGAGGACACAGCTGTGAGCCAGAGAAGATGGAAACTGCTGCATCTGGTAACACTGAAGTCATTGGTGATTTTGGAGAGAGTAGGTTCAGTAAAGCAATGGCCACAGAACAAAAGATTCAGGAATAAATGAGAAATAAAAAGAGAGAGGTCAACTTTTTGAAGTTTGGCTTTTAAGAGCAGGCAAAAGGGCCTCTCTGGTGGCCAAGCAGTTAAGACGCAACCTATGAATCTATCCATAGCCTCTGCAGCACGAGTTCCCAGCGCAGCAGACCTCTCCTGTCTCACCAGCTGCTCTCCTCAGTGGTGTATTTCAGTAGATCTGCCTGTTCTGCTCCCCACTCAGGGTCCTTTGAGGAAAGTAAGGTCACACTGCAGTGAAGCATCCATGTCATCCAGTGACCAGCACCAGGCCTGGCAGCTACCTACCCAGCACTGGCCTCCATCTCCAAGCTCTTCTGAGTCTACTTGGCCCTCATCCTGTATGATAATGAGGTGTCAGTCACACAGGATAAGATGACCCGCATTAAAGTAGGTGATGTAAATGTTGAGCCATTCTGGCCAGGCTCGTTTGCATGGCTCTGGCCCACGTCAACATTGTGGAGTCTTACCTGTAATGTAGGGGTTGGGGGACCTGCCTCATCAGCAGGAAGTCCTGCCCCCTCTACCAATGCTGCCCCACCTGAGAAGAAAATGTAGGATCAAAGAAAGAAGGATCTGAAGAGTCCTATGAAGACTTTGGTTTTGATCTTTTTGACTAAGCTTCTTTTTAAAATGTTCAATAAAAAGCTGAACTCTTGGGCCTCCCTGGTGGAACAAGGGGTTAAGACGCAACCTATGAAGCAATCCGCAGCCACTGCAGCACGAGTTCGATCCCGGGCCAGGGAGCTACCCGCATGGCACAGCAGACCTCTCCTGACTCGCCCGCTGCTCCCCTCAGCAGTGTATTTCAGTCACTCTTCCTGTTCTGTTCCCCACTATGTCTCTGGTGAATCCTCTCATCCCCCCCACACACCTCTGGCCTGTACCCCAGTTATTGTATGCATGAAAAAAAAATCTTAAAAAAAAAAAGCGGAACTCTAAAAAAAATGAAGAGGCAGCAGAGATGATTATGGAGAGGAATACAGTACCTAGGAAAGGTAAGCAGAAACAACTGTTCAATGAGTTTCATCCTAAAGAAAAGGTGAAGGGTAAAGGAGGGTGGTTTTCTGAAACTGAAAGTCTGTCTAAGCTGAAGGGAAGGTCAGAGGGAGGAGAGGATACTGTAAGATTCTCAGAAGTCCTGAGACAAATGGCTCTATAGCTGCATTGCCCAATGTGGTAACCACATGTGGTCTTTTAAATTTAAAGTCATTAAATACAATAAAATACAATGAAAAGCTTGGTTCTTCAGTTGTAGTAGCCACATTTCAAGTACTCGATAGCCACAATAGCCAACAGCAGCCACCAACACGACAGCACAGATACAGACCATTGCCAACACCACAGAATTCCATCACACAGCTCTGGGGTCTAGAACACAAGCAGCAGGATTACTCTGAGACTTTGATAAGAAGAGACATTGCCCCACTATACAGCGGGAGACTGAACACAGCTGCAGCGAGAAGCAGGCTTGCTTGCTTGATGGGGTAGTTTGAGGAGGTTCCTTTCTAAAGGCCTGAAATAAAAGCCAAGTTAGTCATCAAGGGTAAATACAGTTGGGGTGGGAAGCAGCATTGAAGATCTAAGGGGAGAGAAGATGGTTTCAAAGAGAAATTCCAGAGACCGAAAAATTACACTAATTTTGCAAGAAAGGCCAGAGGGTCCAGATAAGGTGGGTGACCGTGAATTTAGAGATACGAGCAACAGTGATTATAGCAGCAGTTTATGTCCAACTGTAGACACAGAGAAGTGGATTAGATTCATCCCTGTCACTCGGCCTTTTGCTAGGTAGGTACAAAGAAGGGGAAGGGAGCTAAGGATAACTAGAGAAAATTACTGAACTAATGGACTGTAGGATCTAAGATTGGGAGAAAAAAGTAGAGAGATGATAAACTGGGGGTCCCCATTAACTAGGAACAAGCAAATAAGGAATAAAGGTGTCTGTGGACAGCCCAGATGCTCAAAATAGTGATTTTTAGAAGGAAGGTAGTTTTGAATGTCAATAAGGTTCAAAGCTTAATAATCTCTTGTGTGTGATGGTTGAGGTGGAGTGGATAAGATCACTGCAGACCTCAGAACTGGCCAGTCAAGTGGCTATGAAATCACTTGATTATTGGCAAGAATTAAGAGTGACAACCATGACAAAACCTTTGAAGAGGACAGTGGATGATTGGAGTTGCAGCCTTAGAGAAACAAGAATCTGGCCTGGGGTCTGGAAATGCTATGACAGAACAAGAGGAAGGTCTCTTGACCCTGAGGAATGTGCTTCTAAAAGAATGTAGGGAAAGCGGGTTCTCCGAGGACAGCCAGGCTGCAACAGAGGCAATGAGACAGCTAAAAGGCTGAGGATATGGGCGGCTTCATTAATTATGGAGTGGAAATTTCAAAGGGCTCCACAGTCAGGTGTGGGAGAAAGGGAGAGACTAGAATGAAATGGCAGCAGAGTGTTGTGACTGTGATGATACAGAGAAGAACAGATGATAAGAGGATCTTATTTGGTGAGTGGTGACTAAAGAAAACCAGAATCTGAGGTTTGGTAGCTCTACTATCTGAAAGAAGGGTGTATGTACACCTGAGGTTCAGCTGCAGTGTAGGAGAGACCAGGGGTCTGTCAACTCTGTGCAGATGAATGGTTTGGACAGCTGCAGGGAGTATGCTGCATCCCTTCCCCTGAGAGGGAGCAATTGCTCAGTCCTCCCCATGACCCCAGGGCTGGTGCTGTCATAGGCCTCACTCTTGACTATTGTTTCACGCGGGATGGTGCTGTCATAGGCTTGGACATTTTCAGTTATTCGTTAAGGCATAAACACTAATCAAATTTTTAAGCATTTTTCAGAAGTGCCACTAGCTCTTTCCTAGGCTTTAGAATAGGAATAAAAGGTAATCTCTAATGTATTACTGGAAAGTGCTTCTTAAAGAAGATTTGATAAAATACCAATTTTTTCAGAAAGGCAATATCAAGAGTATTGGAGAGCATATTTTTTATCAATGATTCACAAGCAAAAGAAAGGTCTACAGATTGACTATAAATCTTAAATAATAAATAGTAAAATAAGGTTTTATAGCCCATTTAATCGCCATAAAAGTTTCTACAAAACCCTAAAAGGAACTATGTAAAACTCACCAAATAGATATATTACACTGTCAAACTAAAACTGAGATGCTTAATATGACATTTAATTAGCAGTTTTATTTGCTTTTTTCAGAATACAGAAAGGCTTTAAGCATTTAAAATGTAAAGGTTTTAATTTCTGATTATGAAAGTCATACTGTGCTCACTGTAAAAAACAAACAAAAATAACAATGAAACCTGTAACTCTATTACCTAGATAGAAACAATATTAACATTTTATTATTAAAATATCCGGATTCTTTTTCTTTTTTCCTTTTTAAATATTTATTTATTTATTTATACAAGCACTGGGTACAGTCAGAAGCGCGGAAGGTGAGAGAATTCACCAGAGCCAGAGCCGGGAGCAGAACAGGCAGAAGGACCGAGGTACACTGCTGAGGGGAGCAGCGGGCACAGCAGGATTGGTCTGCGGCCATGTGGGACCTTTGCCTGGCAGCTGGGGATCGAACCGGTGCTGCAGAGGCTGCGGGCAGCTTCGCAGCCCAGCGCTCAACTGTTGCGCCACCGGGGAGGACCCCAGATTATTTTTCAATGTGCTCACTGTCCACACAGTATATATACATTTAAAGTAGCTAAAACAAAATCATACTATATGTTCTTCTCTTCACTTAGTATAAACAAATTCTATATTAAAAACAAATTTTAATGCTTACATTATTCCACTGTATTAACAGACATATACATCTGTCCTCTAATTTCATACTATAACAATGCCACAATAAATATATTCAATAATTGCGCTTTTTGAAAAATGGATTATCTCCTTAGGACACATCCCTAAAATGAAATAATTTGATTAAAATGAACCCAGTTTGGTCCTCCCTGGTGGTGCAAGGGGTTAAACACCACAATATGAAGCAATCCACAGCCTCTGCAGCCTGAGTTCGATCCCCTGCCAGCCAGGGAGCAACACACAAGGCACAGCAGACCTCCCCTGACTTGCTCACTGCACCCCTCAGCAGTGTAGTTCCATCAGTCTGCCTGTTCTGCTCCCTACTCTGTCTCTGGTAAATCTTCTCACCCCACCCCCACATCTCTGGCCTGTACCCCAGCTCTTGTATGCATAAATATATCTTAAAAAAAAATGGACCCAGTTTGTTCTCGCATATCAATTTATGCTCTCATGTTCACATAACTTTATTACCACAAAATCTGTATATAATTTTTATTCTTACAAGGCTGAGCATCAAAAAAAAAAAAATCTTTCATTGTTGCACCAACTCGCCTTTAGGTTAAAAGGAGAAATTTATTTTCATGTCTTCTGGCCATACAGATGTTCTTTTCTCCTGTGCATGGCCTCTTCAGGTACCTCTGATCCTATATCCAGTGAGACCGCAATTTGATAGAAAAATCAAATGGGAGGCTGGGGATTGTTTAGGAGCAATGCACCACACTGAGGGTGAGCCGGTCCCCTGGGGAGAGCACCAAGGGCAAGGGCGGACATGTGAGAGCCCAGGGAAAACATTCTGGACAGTGAAGTCTTTCAGAGTCTCAGGAAGTCAGGATGTGAAGTCCTTTATTCTGGGGCAACCTCATCCATCTAATGAAACGGAAATTGCAGCTTGATCTGCAGGCCTGAGGCACTTTAAAACATGATCAAGTAGACAGACACTAGGTCCAAGGGCAATTCCTTAGTGTATTCCTTGGCAGAGAATGGTTAGGAAAGATTACCCTTCACTCAAAGATGTGTCAATAAGAAAATAACAAATGAGTGTCTCATGGGGAAAAAATACACAAGGAACATTGTCCAGAAGAGTGAACTCTGAAAAAAAAATTTCTATAGGAAGCAGAAGAACATATGAGAGAACCATTTGACATTCTCATTAGGATATAAAAAGTCACCACAACCTCTCAGTGGAAAAAAGTCTTATTCCATTGTGGTGTGCACAGGCGATTAAAAAATAATTGGCATGTGCTACTTCTGTGATCAAGAAAACATTCAAAAATTAATATAAACAATGTTCTACTAACCACACAAGCAGTTATATAAAAAATATTGATATGTTAAAGAAAAATTTAAAAAGTTAATGTTGGTTGTTTCTATGAGATCACAGATAATTCTCTTTCTTTTGTCTTTGTGTATTTTCTAAATTTTCTATAATGAACACATACTGTTTTTATGATGGTATACATCTGTATATTACCAAGCTAACTACTTACATCCACTATGAAATCCTCAGCCTTCAGTTCAATTTCCAGGTACACTTCCTCGGGTTTAGCATCAGCAAGCTCTTGTGGAAAATTTTTGCAGTCTTCCTAGAAAAGATAAGATTTTTTAAAAATTTATTTATTTTTAAAGATTTATTTTATTTATTTATTTATTTTTATTTATTTATTTATACAAGCACTGGGTACAGTCAGAAGCGCGGGAGGGTGAGAGAATCCACCAGAGCCAGAGTGGGAAGCAGAGCAGGCAGAAGGACTGAAGCACACTGCTGAGGGGAGCAGCGAGCGGCAGGAGAGGTCTGCGCGCCATGTGGGACCCTCCTCCAGTGGCCGGGGAGCAGCCGGGAATTGAACCAGCGCTGCAGAGGCTGCGGGCAGCTTCGCAACCCAGCGCTCAACCGCTGCGCCACCGGGGAGGCCCCGATAAGATGTTTTTTTAAAGATTTATTTATTTATGCATACCAGAGCTGGGGTGTAGGCCAGAGGTGTGGGGTAGGGTTGAGAGGATTCAGTAGAGACAGAGTGGGGAGCAGAACAGGTGGACTGACTGAAATACAGTGCTGAGGGGAGCGGGGCAAGAGGAGAGGTCTGCTGTGCCATGTGGGTCACCTCCCTGGCATGGGATCGAACAGTAACTGTGATTGCTTCATGGTGCTGGTACTTAACCCCTTGCCCCACCAGGAAGGACCAAGATAAGATTCTTTTTTTTTTATTTTTTAAAGATTTATTTATGTATTTATACAAGAGCCGGGGTACAGGCCAGATGCGCAGGAGGGTGAGAGGATTCACCAGAGAGAGCAGGGAACAGAACAGGGAGATTGACGCAATACACTGCTGAGGGGAGCAGCGGGCAAGACAGGAGAGGTCTCCTGCACCATGTGGGACCCTCCCTGGCCGGCCGGGATCAAACCAGCGCTGCAGAGGCTGCGGACAGCTTCACAGCACAGTGTTCAACCGTCTGTGCCACCAGGGGAAGCCCAAGATAAGATTCTTTATGTTAGAACCTTCCTTACCTTTTTATCACTCTGTGCCCAAGAGGTTCCCTTTGTGAAAATGGCAATTTTTTTCTTTTAAAGATTTATTTATTTATGCATACAAGAACTGGGGTACAGGTCAGAGGTGTGGGGGAGTGAGAGGATTCACCAGAGACAGAGTGGGGAACAGAACAGGCAGATCTACTAAAACACACTGTTTAGGGGAGCAGCAGGCGAGACAGGAGAGGTCTGCTGCGCCATGTGGGTAGCTCCCTGGCTGGGGATGGAACTCATGCTGCAGTGGCTGCGGATTGCTTCACAGGTTGCGTCTTAACCCCTTGTGCCACCAGGGAGGCCCTGAAAATGGCACTTTACTAAGAAAAGTGGGTAGAAATAACCAAGCAAAAACATAGCTTTTCTGTGTATGTCATCCTGTAATCATGTCACAACAGAGCAGTTTTCATAACAAAATTTTCACATTTAAAAACATGTAGCATCAACTTATCAGCATAACAGAAGAAGTAAGTGTAACTCAAGGAAATGTGTGCAGTAGGGTATGGTTATCAGTATGGATTTCTGGCAAAGAAGAAAACCTTCAGGGCCTCCCTGGTGACCTAGGGGTTAAGTCTCAGCACTTAACATCAATGGCCTGAGTTTGATCTCTGGCCAGGGAGCTAACCCACATATGGCAGAGCAGACCTCTCCTGTCTTGCCTGCTGCTCCCCTCAGCAGTGTATTTCAGTAGATCTGCCTGCTCTGCTCCCCACTCTGTCTCTGGTGAATCTTCTCACCCCCCACACTTCTGGCCTATACTCCAGTTCTTCTATGCATAAATAAATAAACCTTTAAAAAAAGAAAGAAAGGGCCTCCCTGGTGGCGCAGCGGTTGAGCACTGGGTTGCGAAGCTGCCCGCAGCCTCTGCAGCGCCGGTTCGATCCCCGGCCAACGGGTGAGGGTCCACATGGCGCGCAGACCTCTCCTGCTGCCCACTGCTCTCCTCAGCAGTGTTCTTCGGTCCTTCTGCCTCTCTGCTCCCTGCTCTGGCTCTGGTGAATTCTCTCTTCTTCCCGTGCTTCTGACTGTACCCAGTGCTTGTATAAATAAATAAATCTTTAAAAAAAAAAAAAGAAAGAAAACCTCAATAAGCAGGAAAAAATAAGATATCTGAATTAAGAAAGACAGGAATGTGCTATCTGGGAGAAACAGATATATTGTGAAAACAGAAGTTAAAAGTAGGTCCTTAAAGTCTCAGTGAAGCTAAGAATGAACACAAGGCCTTAGAACAGAGTCTAGGTTTTGTGATGAGTTAATGGTTTCCTCTTGGAGGGCAGAGAAACTTTTACTAATGGTAGAAAAGTACGAGCTAACCCAACTTACCCTTTGAAACTTTTCTTCTCTTGACTGAGTCTCACCTACATACTTGTATAGGTTACGGGATTCAATTTTTTTTAAAATATCTCGTGCTGCATCCAATCTGGTGTCAGTAGAGTATAAAATCTCCAGAAAAATATTATCTGCCAATTTGATGAAATTTCAGTTATCGCAAAATGAAAACAAAAAAACAAAAAACCACAAGATTTAACAGGCTTCATACACTGCTGTGCTTCTGAAATTTCAATCACAAGTTTACAGATATAGACAATGTGAAATTTTTTTATAAAGAGTGAATTTTAAGAAAAGTTCTAGTCCATGTCTTAGATTTGCTAAAGGTAATCTAGCAAGTGGGGAAGGAGCAGAGCTAAAACAAGACTGCACTGGAGTTGACGACATGAGGCTGAGTGACGGGCACACATGGGTGTTAATTTGTTATGATTTGCTTATTTTTTAAAGATTTATTTATTTTTATGCATACAAGAGCTGGGGTATAAGCCAGAGATGTGTGGGGTGAGAGAATTCACTAAAGACAGAATGGGGAACAGAACAGGCAGATTGACTGAAATACACTGCTGAGGGGAACAGCGGGTGAGAGACGAGAGGTCTGCTGCGCCATGTGGCTGGCCGGTGATCGAACTCATGCTGCAGAGGCTGCGGATTGCTTCACAGTGCAGTGCTCAACCCCTTGTGCCACCAGGGAGGCCCTGGTTTGTTAGTTTTTTTTTAATAAGAGAATGATATTTAAGTAATACTGAAATTATGTCTGAGATCTGCTTCCAAATAGCCTAGTGTCTTACAGAAGTGGGTGGATGGAAGCAAAATTGCTGTGCTGATAATTGTTGAAGCTAAGTGATAGGTACATGGAATTTTGTAAATTTTCTTAATTAAAAGTTTTTTTAACATTCCAGTCCATGAGAAGGTAGTTTTTCCCTTCTCTTTTTCCTTCAGCTTGTTACTTTGAAAAAATTTAAAAAGAAAATACCATTGACCAAAACAATTAACATTTCCCATCTATATGCACATTCTTTCCATGGGTATATGTTTATATGTTTATATGCATGCACATACATTTTTATGAAACATTTGAAAATCACAGACATTAGAACGCTTCATTCCAAAATACTTAAGCAAATATCATCCAAGAATAAGAAAATTCTCCTACATAAGCACAATATGCCAAGAAATTTAAAATTGATCTAAAACTAACAGTGTATATTTAAATTTGTTTAATCCATTAATTCAACTTACAGGGTTTTCTTGTTGATAAAGAAACCAAGTAAAGTCAATGATACTAGTCATCATGTTTTTTAAGTCTCCTTTAATCTAGACCTAGAATAATTCCCCTGATTTATCATTTGTGATATCGATATTTTAGAAAAGTTCAGGCAGTCATCTTGTAAAATGTCCCAGAGTCTAAAATGTTATTGCAGGGGACTAGAAGTTAGAGGTAAGGTCCACCTATGCTAATGAATATTGAGGAGAAAGACCAAGAAAATGGTTACCTCGTAAGACTAGGGCCATATTATCTACAATGCTTAAAGATAGCTACATCCAGAGAAGCTGAAACATTCATCAGAAACATGAAATTAGGAGGGCCTCCCTGGTGGTACTGGGGTTAAAGTCTCAGGGCTATCACCACCATGGCCTGACTTAGATCTCTAGCCAGGGAAGCCAACCCACATGGCGTAGCAGACCCCTGTTGGCTTGCTTGCTGCTCCTCTCAGCAGTATGTTTCAGTTGCTCTGCCTGTTCTGCTCCCCACTGTCTCTGGTGAATCCTCTCACCCCCCCGCACTTCTGGCCTGTACCTCAGTTCTTGTATGCATAAATAAATAAATCTTAAAAAAAGGTCAGTATTAAATATAGCATGTCCTTGAATAACAAAATTTCATTACAAAGTTGATGAGGGGAAAAAAAAATCCATTGGTAACTGGGACCTCTGTGTCTCCCCATGTCTGCATGGGCTTTCTCCAGGCACTCTGCTTTTCTCCCATATCCCAAGATGAGCAAGTTAGGTTCACTGGTGTATCAGAATCATCCCAGAGAGTCCTGTGCAGCACTGGTTCCCACCCATGCCCTGAGCTACCAGGACAGCTTCTAGCCCTCTGCAACCCTGAACTGTGTGAAAATGAATGACTGAATATAAGTTATTAATTAATATCAGAGTATTTGGGGTCTTTATTTAGTAGTGTAGAGATTTTTTTCCTGTGACCAGAAAACTGCCCTTGGAATTTAACTCTTCTTTATAACAATTAGCCTATGATAAAATTGATTTTATTATGTCATTTCACTTAAAAATCACAGCTTCTAAGAACTTATTATTGATATTAAATGAGAGCTTAATCTCCTCCCTGCCCGAATTGCTTTATCTCTGTTTCTGTCAACATAACAACAGGAGGCTAGTCAATATAGTATGATGTTATTTATTTTTATTCTTTTTTTTAAAAATATTTATTTATTTATGATTACAAGAACTGGGGTACAGGCCAGAGGTGTGGGAGGTGAGATGATTCACCAGAGACAGAGTGGGGAGCAGAACAGGCGGATCTACTGAAATATACTGCTGAGGGAAGCAGTAGGTGAGACAGGAGGCCCCCATTTTCTAATCTTAACCAACTGTAAAATAAATATATATACATATACATATATATATACACATAACAAAATGAAACAGGGATCCCCCATATTGAAAGTCAGTGCACACTTGAGAACACTGTATGTACATCAATATTTAAGGCTTATTAAGAGCTTGCTTCTTGCTTATTAATTAATTTTGGTTGGATGATTACAGTTATAGGGGATAATGTATATCTAAACTGTTTCTATGTTTTGTTACACAGTGGGAAGGAAAATATAATGGACTATGGAAGAGGACCATGGGTGCCTTGGAGGTGGGTGTGTATGAGGACATGCATCTGAGGAGGTGTTAGCCTATGCCTCTGAATCATATATAATTTTGTAAGACAATGCTGCCTCAATAGGAAAAAAAATAAGAATAAAAATGGGACCTCCCTGGTGGCGCAAGAGGTTAAGTCTCGGCACAATGAAGCTACTAGAAGCCACTGCAGCACGAGTTCAATCCCCACTCAGGAAGCTGACCCACATGGTGCAGTAGACCTCTCCTGTCTTTCCCACTGCTCCCCTCAGCAGTGTATTTCAGTCAATCCGCCTGTTCAGCTCTCCACTCTGTCTCTGGTGAATCCTCTAAGCTGCCCTGTACCTCTGGCCTATATCCCAGCTCTTGTATGTATAAATAAATAAATCTTGGGCCTCCCTGGTGGCGCAGCGGTTGAGCGCTGGGTTGCAAAGCTGCCCGCAGCCTCTGCAGCGCCGGTTCGATCCCCGGCTACTCGCCGGGCACCGGAGGAGGGTCCTGCATGGCGCGCAGATCTCTCCTGCCGCCCGCTGCTCCCCTCAGCAGTGTACCTCAGTCCTTCTGCCTGCTCTGCTCCCCGCTCTGGCTCTGGTGAATTCTCTCACCCTCCCGCACTTCTGACTGTACCCAGTGATCATATAAATAAATAAATAAATAAATCTTTAAAAAAAAATTAGAAAAAGACTGTGCTAATTGCCTACAAATAAGTATATTTTATTTTACCTTTTTTAAAAAGATTTATTTATTTAAGCATACAAGAGCTGGGGTACAGGTCAGAGATGCAGGGGGTGAGAGGATTCATCAGAGACAGTGGGGAACAGAACAGGCAGATTAACTGAAGTGCACTGCTGAGGGGAGCAGTGGGCTAGTCAGGAGAGGTCTGCTGCGTCATGTGGGTTATTCCCTGCCTGGCCGGGGATCAAATTCGTGGTGCAGAGGTTGCAGATTGCTTCATAGTGAGGTGCTTAACCCCTTGCACCATGAAGGAGGCCCAAGTAAGTATATTTTAAAAGAATAATACATAATAGTTTTGGCAATCTAACTTTTCTCTGATTTTATTATATTTAAATGTTTATTATGTTCATGAAATTCAATAAAATCATGGGCTTGTATTTCATGTCTTTTCCCCCCATTTTTTTTTTTTAAGATTTATGTATTTATTTATTTATACATGCACTGGGTACAGTCAGAAGCGCGGGAGGGTGAGAGAATTCACCAGAGCCAGAGCGGGGAGCAGAGCAGGCAGAAGGACCAAAGTACACTGCTGAGGGGAGCAGCGGGCGGCAGGAGAGGTCTGCGCGCCATGTGGGACCCTCCTCCAGTGGCCGGGGAGCAGCCGGGGATCGAACCGGTGCTGCAGAGGCTGCAGGCAGCTTCACAACCCAGCTCAACTGCTGCGCCACCGGGGAGGCCCTCCCCACCATTTTATTTAGTAATTTATTTTTATTGGATTTATTTATATTATTTATCAACAGAGAGGTTGGAAATGAAGAATACTGGTTGTTTGGAGACAGTGTGAGGGTAAATGGTTCCGGTTTCATTCTGGCAGTGGTCTGCAGACAGAATTCAGCAGGACCAGAACAGCAGGAGTTCCTGACACAGGAAACTGCTGAAGGATGATCTCAGCTATCTCATAGGCCATTTAGTTTCTGTTGTTTTTGCTTATTTTCAGTCTCCAGCCTCTCCACTAATTCTGAAAGTATGTGATTTCTTTCTAATTTTATTTTAAGTTAAGCAGAGTGAGTTTTCATGACTTCCAAGTAAAAATTCTGACTGGCATGTAATTTATGGTCCTTTTTTTTTTTTGCTTATTCTCAAAATTCTTTATATCTTTGTCAGTCTACACTTTGCCACATTAAAGAACCAGTTGTGTTATCTTCACCTCTGTTCTTTCCCTCCCTAAGTTATAGATTTCATTTCTGTTGAAATGGTAAGAAACATTCCTGGCATCCTGAGTTTTGCAACAAAAATAATGTTCAAAGGGTTATCAGCTTTTTTTGGTATTAGTAAAGTTGTATTCTAAATTAAATAATAAATATTGAGTATTTGCCTGTCAACTACGTACTGGCTGTTATGGCTCTTTTAAGCATCATAACAAAACTATACACAATGGGCCTCCCTGGTGGCGCAGGGGGTTAAGATGCAACCTATGAAGCTACCCACAACCACTACAGCACGAGTTCCATCCCTGGCCAGGGAGGTGACCCACATGGCACAGCAGGACTCCCCTGGCTCACCTGCTGCTCCCCTCAGCAGTATGTTTCAGTAGATCTGCCCATTCTGTTCCCCACTCTGTCTCTGGTGAACCCTCTCAACCCCCACATCTCTGGCCTGTACCCTAGTTCTTATATGCATAAAGAAACAAATCTTAAAAAAAAAAAAACACTATACACAAGGTACCATTATTCCCATTACATAGATGATGAAACTAAGGTTCAGAAAGGTTACATGACTTTATCAAAGTCAACTCACTAGGGCAAAGCAGAGACAAAACAGAAATCTAAAAGTATATATGACTTGAGAAGCTAAAATACATTGGAATGTTTGGAAAACAATGCATTTGCAATCTGAGGATGGCTTCTATTTGATCTGAGATCGACCATATACTTTGCCTTTTATTTTTTTACCTGTTAGTTTAGTAAAGGCTTCCATGTCATCAATTGCTGTAGAAATGTGGTACTTTACTCCATTAGTACCTAAAATCTCTATGTAGTTGTCTGCTTTGAGAAAAGCATCTGTAATCCTATGGATCATTAAAAAAAAATGTTATGCTTATGACAAAAGTTGAATATTTTTTACTTTATGCTTTACTTAAAGTTAAGGAACTCTTTCTACTTTAGGGAAATAAAATCTTGAGACACAATGTTATAAAGCAATTGGTTCTCTATCAAACTAAATAACTGCTAAACAAGGACATGGTGATTTGTGAGCTACCATGTTAACTATGTTAAAGGCATTGGAACAGGGATTTAGATACATTGTTTTAATTCCATATTTTCAACAATAAAATAGGTGTAATCAGCTTCAGTTTTATAGATGCATAAATTAATTTTTGTAACAAAGTTAGGAAGAAGCAATGCCAGGTTTTTTTTTCTTTCTTTTTTTTTTCTTTTTTTTGTGGGACCCTCGCCAGAGGCCGGGGAATGAACCGGCGCTACAGAGGCTGCAGGCAGCCTCGCAGCCCAGTGATCAACCACTGTGCCACCAGGGGAGGCCCGCCAGGTTTGTTTTTTTTAAAGATTTTTGATTTCTACATACAAGAACTGGGGTACAGGCCAGAGGTGAGGAGGGTGAGAGGATTCACTAGAGACAGGGTGGGGGACAGAACAGGCAAACTGACTAAAATACACTGCTGAGGGGAGAAGCAGACAAGGTAGGAGAGGTCTGCTATGCCATGTGGGTAGCTCTCTAGCCAGTGGGTGCTGCAGAGGCTACGGATAGCTTCACAGTGCTGTGTCTAACCCATGTGCCTCCAGGGAGACCCCTACAATGCCAAGTTTTGAACCTAAATCTCTCTGCCTCTCCAAATTAAAAACAAAATACACATGGTCCTCCCTGGTGGTGCAAGGGGTTAAATCTCAGCACTATGAAGCTATCTGCAGCCACCCCAGCACAAGTTTGATTCCTGCCCAGGGAGTAACCCACATGGCACACAGAACTCTCCTGTATCCCCCGCTGCTCCCCTCAGCATTGTATTTCAGTAGATCTGTCTGTTTTGCTCCCCTCTCTGTCTCTGGTGAATTTCCCCACTCCCACATCTCTGGCCTGCAACCTAGCTCTTGTATGCATAAATAAATAAATCCTAAAAAAATGAAACCCAAATACATGAACCCAAAACAACAAGAACATATTACCAAAGTAACAAATAGGAGACTTTATTCTAACTAGCTTGTTCATGACAAACAGGAAAAATAAAAATAAGCATAATTTCTTCAACACATATATAAACATGAAAAGCTTAGAATAGTTAAGCTATTTTAGAGACATGAAATTAACTCAATTCACATCCAATTTTTGATAACCACTCATTGGGGTATTTGAGTTGCATAAGACACTTAGCTGTACTTTCATGCTATGATTCTGATCAACTCAGAAAGAAAAGGTGAAATTCCTGTTAGTTTTACTACTTGGCACTAATTTTGATAAATAATTGACAGTGTAAGGATTAATCTTAATCCTAAAAATTAATTGTCATTATTTTCAGAATTATGCACATCCACATCTCATTACCTTGGTGACTATTACCTGGTACGTAGGTGACTACAAGTATGGAAATCCAAGTCATTCCATTGTCTCTTTATGAATAGTCTAAGCCAGTTCTTCTGTCCCTTCACCTGTCCCCTTATTCACTTTCCATCTCTTCTCCCAAGTACGTTTACTTTTTTTGCTTATTTATCTAAGGGAACCATTTTAGATTTATTCATTTAAAATTTACTTAAATTTATCTAGAAATCTCAACTTGAACCAAGTATGATACTCTAACAAAGCACCATGGGAACATTTTCTCGCATATAACAATTGAATTTCTTACATCGTATCAATGATGTTGCCAACTTTGTGTTGATAAGCTCTACGGTGTAAACAGTTGCGTGTGTGGAACATGTCATACAGATTCCCAACCTCCTGTAGGAAAATGTAAAGTAAATGCAAAATCAGATTATGTAACCTCTGTAAGTAGACAAGTATATAAGACAAGGAAAAGGGATGGTGGCAAAGCCATTTATTTATTTGCAACTTTTGTTTTCAGTAAACCAAAATCTATTAAATGCTTTAACTCTGTAACAGGTTCTGTTTTAGGTATCTTAAATGTATTATTAACCTTCTCAACACTAAGAATTACTGTTACTAGGAATCATTATTGTTGTATCCTTCATTCTCAAAAGGCATTGTATTCTTCATTCTTCTATAACATAAGACTACACTACTCTTTAATTCATGACTCTATAATCTAGTAGGCACCTACATAGTCCAGTCTTTTTAAACATTTACAAAACACATTAAGGATGAAACTGAAGTCCAACTTTCTGGGTTAAAACTCTAGTTCTGACATTTATCAACTGTACGTCTTGAGTTTCAATTTGCTTATATATTAAGTGAGCTAATAATAAGTATATATTTCATAAGATTATAAGGATGAAGCTAATAAATCTAAAGCACTTAAAACAGAGCCTGCCACAATACTCAAAAAAAGTCTATTATAATTGTATTATTATTTAATAATGCCACAGAGTGGAGAGAATCTTAAGATACTTACAAACACAAAGCATGAAATAAAGAGATGAACAATCTACCATGTACTGATTTTTCCAAATTATTGAATGATTATTTCTAGATTTCAAACCACAAACTATACCTCCTATTTTGTTTTTCTGATATATGATATAGTTTACCTTTTCTCTTGTACAAATATGTTTCCGATTTTCCACTTCACAGACACGGGCAAATTTAATAAAGCGTTTATAATCAAAATTATTTTGGATTCCAAGATGATGGCAGTCCCTAGAAAGAATCCAAAGCAGAGAGAGATGAAAATTTTCAACAAGGCAAACCTACCTTAAATGTTAACACTAAATTTTATATACAGTAGTTTATAAACCCTTTATACAATGACTATATTTATTTACTTATATGAAAATTATATATATAATTTATAATTATATATATAATTTATAATTATATATATAATTTATTTTATATATATATATATATATATATATATATATTATACCAGGACTTTAAGTTGCCAACTTTTCTGAAGTATTCAGTACATACCTGGCAAAATAATCCCATTTGTCCACATCAATGCCATTTCTTTTATTAGCCACAATCTCATAAAGGAAGCTTTTCTCTTTAGGGCGTCCTTGATATGGCCACTAGAAGAAAAAAAGACTCACTTAAAAGGTTTTAGGATAAGAACCAAATCTGTTTACAAGCAAAACAATTTTATTAGTTTGAAATTTATAAATAAATACTTGATTAGGATCATGAGGTAAATTAGAAGGTTTTACTCTTTTTTTTAAAGATTTATTTATTTTTATGTAAGAATTGGGGTACAGGCCAGAGATGCAGGGGCTGGGGGGTGTTGTTGAGAGGATTCACCAGAGACAGCAGGGACAGAACAGGCAGAGAGACCGAAGTACACAGACGAGGGGAGCAGCAGGTGAGACAGGAGAGTTCTGTCCCACCATGTGGGTTTCTCCCTGGCGGGCCAGAAATCAAACTCGAACTCGTGCTGCAGTGGCTGCGGATTGCTTCATAGGTTGCGTCTTAATCCCTGCGCCATCAGGGAGGCCCAGAAGGTTTTACTCTTTCCTTCCTCTGTTTGATTCCCAAATTAGTAGGGAAGGGGGGTGGGGCAGGGAATGCTAAAGTTTCGGATATTCTGCTATTACAAAATCTTTTGTGCCATTGAAAAGCTCTTAAGTCTGTTAACATTTCCCATAACAACCCAGCTTTCTTTGTTTGAAAGTTTTAAAAATATATAAATCTAATTATGAAGTAGTAAGAATGTTTCTTATAATGCATGAATTAATGCATTAAACTAGTATTAATCTTTCAAAGTAGCTACAAATCTAGTCTAGATGATATGCATTGTCCAAAGAATTTTTGGAGCTCTATTTTTTGGAAATAGGATGCTTGCCTCAAATCCACCTCTTTATCTTACATCTCATAAAGAGATCTGCATCTGGTGCCTCCCTGGTGGTGCAGGGGTTAAAGTCTCAGTGCTATCAAGCTATCACTAGCCATTGCGGGTATGAATTCCATCCCTAGTGAGGGAGCTAACCTGCATGGTGCAGCAGACCTCTCCTGTCTCGCCACTGCTACCCTTAGCAGTGTATTTCAGTAGATCCACCTGTTCTGCTCCCCACTTTGTTTCTGGTAAATCCTCTCATTCCCCACACCTCTGGCCTACACCCAGTCCTTTCAGGCAAAAGAATAAATAGGGCCCTCCCTGGTGGTGCAAGGGGTTGAGATGAAACCTGTGAAGGTATCTGTAGCCACTACAGCACGAGTTCGATCCCGATCCAGGGAGAAACCCATGTGGCACAGCAAACCTCTCCTGACTTGCCCGCTGCTGCCCTCAGCAGCATATTTCAGTCAATCTGCTTGTTCTGTTCCCCACTCTGTCTCTGATGAATCCTCTCACCCCCTCCCACACCTCTGGCCTGTACCCCAGTTCTTTTACACATACATACATAAATAAATAAATAAATAAATAAATAAATCTTTAACAAAAAAGAATAAATTAATAAAAATATGAAACAATCTTTAAAAAAAGTAGAAATATATAACTTACTTTTTCATTCAGTCACTCTAAAGTAGCCAAATGTGTAGCTCAGAAGAAATCAAGGAACGACTAGGTGAAGAACACCAGTCGGTTCAAATCAAGTTATAAACCTACCTTCGGGGCCTCCCCGGTGGCGCAGCGGTTGAGCGCTGGGTTGCGAAGCTGCCCGCAGCCTCTGCAGCGCCGGTTCGATTCCCGGCTGCTCCCCGGCCACCAGAGGAGGGTCCCACATGGCGCGCAGACCTCTCCTGCCGCCCGCTGCTCCCCTCAGCAGTGTACTTCAGTCCTTCTGCCTGTTCTGCTCCCCGCTCTGGCTCTGGTGAATTCTCTCACCCTCCCGCGCTTCTGACTGTACCCAGTGCTTGTATGCATGTATGTATAAATCAATCAATCAATAAAAATAAATAAATAAATAAATTTAAAAAAAAAAAAATAAACCTACCTTCGACTTACTGTCTGGTGATCCATGTGGCCCTTCAATTTGCTCCTTAATAAAGCAAATATCTTCTTTAAGGACGAGACCATAGTGTTCCATGACATCTTTGAGTCCATTAGAATCAACTAAATGGTCAAACATCTTAACTGAGCCCAGTTCATGCTAGGAAAAGTTAACATAATATGGTCCATTATAGACTTTTGTCCAATAGGAACTCTAGATTATCCAAATTACATGATTCTTGGTAACTTAGAGATAAGGTTCCACTGCATGTTAATTTTCTGGTTTCCAGCTATAATCTTCAAAAAATCTGTCAAATTATCTGTGTTTTACTAGTCTGTAGATCTTATACAAGTCATGTTCATTGTTTTGTAAATATATTTAATGAGATATAATCATTTACAGTGCCTGGAAGAATATTAACTGGTAAAATTCCACTTAAATGAACAGCACTATAAAATTCAGTTCTATTGTTTCAACAGCCTTGGAAAATATCAAGTTGTAAATAATTCTGTCAACACTTCCATCTACTGGTGAAAGGGGAAACTGCAAACTTGCCAGCAAAAAAAAAAAAAAAAAAAAAAACGCTTTAGAGTTTTCAAGTTAACATCTGTGTTGGAATCTCAAATTGGCAACAGTTTGCTTATCTATCTCTGCTCACTTACTCATAATGTGTTCACTGATAATTGTAAAGAGCACATGATCCTATGAATACATCCGTCCTATCCCAGATTTGACAAAAAATAAAAAGCTCAAGGCAAAAACAAAAATCTGCATAGTCCTATAAAAGTTGTTAAAAAATTAGGGCCTCCCCGGTGGCGCAGCGGTTGAGCGCTGGGTTGCGAAGCTGCCTTCAGCCTCTGCGGCGCTGGTTTGATCCCCGGCTGCTCCCCGGCCACCGGAGGAGGGTCCTACATGGCGCACAGACCTCTCCTGCAGCCCGCTGCTCCCCTCAGCATTGTACTTCGGTCCTTCTGCCTACTCTGCTCCCCGCTCTGGCTCTGGTGAATTCTCTCACCCTCCCGCACTTCTGACTATACCCAGTGCTTGTATGTATAAATAAATAAATAAATGAAATAAAATAAATCTTAAAAAAAAAAAATTAACTCAAGGGTTTCCCTGGTGGTACAGCAGGTTGAGCACAGCGCTGTGAAGCTGGTCTGCAGCCTCTGCAGCATGGGTTCGATTCCCGACTGGTCAGGGAGATACCCACATGGTGCGGCAGACCTCTCCTGTCTCTCCTGCTACTCTTCTCAGCAGTGTTTTCAGTCCGTCTGCCTGTTCTGCTCCTGGCTCTGCCTCTGGTGAATACTTTCACTGTCCTGTGACTCTGGCCTATACCCTAGTTTTTGCACAAAATAAATAAAAAAATTTTAAAAAAATTAACTCAAGATATATTATATAACAGAGCCTCCCTGGTGGGGCAGGGGGTTAAGTAAGGTATAGCACTGTGAAGCCATCCTGTGGCACTGCAGCACAGTACGAATTAGTGCAGCAGACCTCTCCTGTCTCGCCTGCTGCTCCCCTCAGCAGTGTATTTCAGTCAATCTGCCTGTTCTGTTCCCCACTCTGTCTCTGGTGAGTCCTCTCACCCCCAACCACCTCTGGCCTATACCCCAGTTCTTGTATGTATAAATAAATCTTTAAAAAATATACTATATAACAAAGAGGAAAAACAGGTGTATAATGAAGAAATTGAGCAGATACTGCCTAAGGAATGAAACTCATTATCACCAGTAATACTCAAACAGATTTTATGTGCCTGATGGGATACACTAAAGATTTACACAACTTATTTCTGTGGCATTCCGCCAAAAATACAGTCTGATGCTATAAGGAAATACCGAATGAACTGAGGGACATTCTACAAAATAATTCACCTCTATTGTTTAAAAAATTGATAAGATCGGGCTTCCCTGGTGGCGCAGCAGTTGTGCGCTGGGCTGCAAAGCTGCCCACAGCCTCTGCAGCACCAGTTCAATCCCCAGCCGCCAGCAAGGGTCCCACATGGTTAGACAGACCTCTCCTGCCATGCCCACTGCTCCCCTCAGCAGTGTACTTCATCAGTCTGCCTGTTCTGCTCCCCGCTCTGGCTCTGGTGAATTCTCTCACCCTCCCGCGCTTCTGACTGTACCCAGTGCTTGTATAAATAAATAAATCTTTTAAAAAAAATTGATAAGATCATCAGAGAAATGGCAACTAAGTGTATAGACCTGGTCTAAGTGTATAGACCAGGGGGAAAAAAATGCCTCACCCTTAATGAACAATTGGTGAAATCTGAAATAATGCCTACAAATTAGGTAAGAGTACAGCTTCAATATTAATTTCCTGGTGTTGATTACGCCATTGAGGTTATATAAAAAAAGTCCTTGTTTTTAGAAAATAACCACTGAGGGCCTCCCCTGGTGGCACAGACGGTTGAGCGCAGCACTGTGAAGCTGTCCACATCTGCTGCAGCGCTGGTTGGATCCTGGCTGGCCAGTGAGGGTCCCACATGGCGACGCAGACCTGTCCTATCTTGCCCGCTGCTCCCCTCAGCAGTGTACTTCGTCAGCCTGCCTGTTCTGCTCCCCGCTCTGGCTCTGGTGAATTCTCTCACCCTCCCGTGTGTCTGACTGTACCCAGTGTTTGTATAAATAAATAAATAAATCTTAAAAAAATTTAAAAATAAAAAATAAGCATAACTTTAAAAAAAATAAATAATGAAATTATCAACAAGAGTAGGTATAACAGAAAATATTTAAGACCTCTATGGGAAAAATTATAAAACTTATAATGGAAGAACAAAGGGTCAAAGATATTCCTATAACACAAGTGTGAACAGTTGTCTTACCAACTCTCAAAACTTATAATACAGTAATAATAACTAAGAAAGTGTAGAATAGGAAAGAATTTAGAAACATTATATATTGAAAACTAATTATTGCTGGGATTAGTGTTATAGATCAGTAGGGAAAATGTTGGGGGGAAAGGATGTCCTGAATGAATTCCACAAACACAGGTTTTATGGATTCCATCCCAACCCCAGACCAGAGAGATCCAAGGCACCAAAGACTACAAACCCCATAATGTCATCACCACCAAAGGGAGGATTGCTGGGAACTAAGTGTGAAGTTAAGCAGCCAGGTTTGGTATATAACCAGCCATGGGAGTTTGAGGGTTCTTGTGTTTTTTTTGCTGGCCTTCAGCATGCTATTTGGGTTCCAGCTCGGGAACTAGTTGGACACATTTACCAATTTATCTCTCTCTCTTTCTCCCTGGGTTATTCCTTTCTTCATTTCCCCTTTTTGTAAATTAACCCTTTATTAACCCTTTCTTGTGTGTGTGCCTGCAGTTGAGTCTCATTATAAGTCCCTTTAAGCACATGGGTGAGGACCCACACTCAGGTCAACCCATTTCACATTGAGGTTGCCCTGTAACAAAGGGATGAGCTATTCAATAATTACCCTTAGTTAAAAGAAAAGTAGATTTCTATCACACAGAGAGACAAAATATAATTCCACAAGAGTTATGAATTTAAATGTGAGAGGCAAAATATTTAAAGAAGAAGACTTGAGAATAAGTAGATCCTATTTAGGTCAATTAAATAGGAGAAAGCAACTGTAAACTCTAGACCAAACCTACTGGAGAGCAACTGAAAGCAGGCAGATGTTAGAAGAGAGTCAACACTTGGAAGACAAAGGCATTGGGAAATATTCCAGTTTTTTAAATGCCTTTTAGCCTAAGAGTGGGTCCCAAGGTAGCAAAACTGGAAAGAAACTCTGCATCTTACTGGCCTGAAGAACCAGAGAACTTCATCAAATTTAAAATTTCTATTTCTCAAAAGGCACCATTAAGAAAATGAATAGGGGCCTCCCCGGTGGTGCGGCAGGTTGAGTGCTGCGCTATGAAGCTGTCTACAGCCTCTGCAGTGCTGGTTCAATTCCAGGCCGGCCAGGGAGATTCCCACATCGCTCGGCAGACCTCTCCTATCTTGCCCGCTGCTACCCTCAGCAGTGTATTTCGGTCAGTCTGCCTGTTCTGCTCCCTGCTCTGCTCTGGTGAATCCTCTTACCCTCCCACGCCTCTAGCCTGTACCCCAGTTCTTTTATAAATATAAATAAATCTTAAAAAAAAAAGAAAATGAGGGCCTCCCCGGTGGCGCAGTGGTTGAGCGCTGGGTTGCGAAGCTGCCCGCAGCCTCTGCAGCGCTGGTTCAATCCCCAGCTGCTCCCCGGCCACCAGAGGAGGGTCCCACATGGCGCACAGACCTCTCCTGCCGCTCGCTGCTCCCCTCAGCAGTGTACTTCGGTCCTTCTGCCTGCTCTGCTCCCCGCTCTGGCTCTGGTGAATCCTCTCACCCTCCCGTGCTTCTGACTGTGCCCAGTGCTTGTATAAATAAATTAATTAATTTTTAAAAATTAAAAAAAAAAAAAAAGAAAATGAATAGGCAAGCCAGGGACCAGGGGGAAAATATTCACAAAATCCTTCCCTGGTGGTACAAGGGGTTAAGTATCAGCACTATGAAGCTATCAGCAGCCACTACAGCATGAGTTTGATCCCCAGCCAGGCAGCTGACCCACATGGCACAGTAGATCTCTCATGTCTCTCCTGCTGCTCCCCTCAGCAGTGTATTTCAATCAATCTGCCTGTTGTGCTCCCCACTCTGTCTCTGTCCCCCTGCACCTCTGGCCTATACCCCAGTTCTTGTATGCATAAATAAATAAATCTTAAAAAAAAAAAATACTGGGGCCTCCCTGGTGGCTCAAGGGGTTAAGTCACAGCACTATGAAGCTATGAGCAGCCACTGCAGCATGAGTTTGATCCCTGGCCAGGCAGGTGACCCACATGGAGCAGCAGACCTCTCCTGTCTCACCCACTGCTCCCCTCAGCAATGTATTTCAGTAGATCTGCCTGTTCTGTTTCCCACTCTATCTCTGGTGAATCCTCTCACCCCCCCACACCTCTGGCCTGTACCCCAGTTCTTGTATGCATAAATAAATAAATCTTTAAAAAAAAAACACTGCGCATAGCAACTTTATTAACCTTAGTAATTAATAACCTCATTAATAAACAGAAAAGTAAAAATCCAACTTCCATTAAAAGTAGAAAAGATGAGCAAAACTTGACTTATTCATACAACAGACTACCTCAGCAATAAAAAGGAATGAACTACTATTAATGACAAAAACTTCTGGCTTTTCCAGATTGAATATTTGTAGATTAGAACAGCAGCTTTAAGACAATCCATTAGGATAATGAATGCATTCAAGTGAGTGAATCTTAAATCGTTTGTTGAGTGAATAAAGCAAGATACAATAAGCACCCACTATGTGATATACTTATATCCAGTTTAAAAACAAGGTAACTGATCTATAATTATGAAAGTGTAAGATAGTGGTGGGAACAGGGAAGAAGGAATTGATGGAAAGGGGTACAAAGGAATTTTGCAGAAAGATGAAAGCATTCTATAGCCTGATTTTAAGTGGTGGTTACATGGAGACATACACGTGCCAAAACTCCCTGAATTGTACACTTAAGATCTATATAATGTATCACGTGTGAATTATCCCTTTAAAGAAAACAAACAGAAAATAGTGATTGACACATAAGAGGCACTTGCTATATACTGATATTCCTTTCAACTCCAGGTTCTAGAAGTACATGTGGAAAAAAATACGATTGAACCTAGCTTTACTTCTCAAAATTGATTCCAAATATATGGGTCAGTTACCTGCAAGTCCCAAATTATCAAATGGTTCCTTTAACTTACATGATGAAACTTGGTCATACAAAATGAATTGAAACAAGTGAAATGATTTTTATTTATTTTTCGGTAGTGTGAAAAAGTAGAAAAGCATTAAATTAGCAACTAGAAAACCAAGTTTTCTAGTGTTGGCTCTGGTAGTTAGCAGTTCTGTGATTTTTGGTGCATCAATACACCTCTGTGCTTCAGGTTCCTTTGCACTAGTGAAAAACGGAGATGATAATTCTTTCCTTATGGACTACTTAAGGACTTTCCTTACGGTGAGATCAGTGGACACACACACACAAAAACACCCTGAAAACTGCAATGGGAAGTATTCTATTCCACAGCAGCAGTTGCCTACAATAGCTTTTATTTTATTGACTATTGAATATTTGTACATACACTATATACATATTGAGTATATATACATACCTTCCAATTTATCCCTGGGCGAGCAAGTGGAATAAATCTTCCATCAAACATATGAGAAAATGGCCCGTGACCTTAAAAACAAAAAGCAGCCTTAGAACAAGAAAACTGTTTGCAAATTGATAAAAATGGAATCTTTTAATCTTTTTAATTTAACTAGCATATCAACAGAAATTAAAATCCATAAATACATCACAAAAAAGGGCAAATCTTTCCTTCTTATTTCTACAGGAAACAGAACTCTATCAGAAAACAAGTCCTTCAAAGAGAGGTCTCTAAGAAATAAGCACAACTTAGTGAGTTAAACTTTTATTCTGAAATTTTGCCCTTCCTAATTTTTGCTGTTAAACTTTCCTTTCTTTGATAAAATAATGGTAGCTGAAATTTTAATGTCCTTCCTTACTTGACTCTTTAAAAATTTGTCAAACCATAAAAAAAAAAGAGAGAGGTCACTGAATCACCAGAGTTTGCATAAATCTGAGTAAAATGACAGCCTTATGTAGCTAAAAGGAATGTAAATGACAAAATTTTTGGCATCTCCAGATTGAGTATTTGTGGATTAGAACTGCAGCTTTAAGACAATCCATTAGGGTCAGGAAGAAAATATTAGAACTTAATTTTATTACTCTCATTCTTTATAAACACCTATCTTTAAGTAAAATTCATCATGTACATATTCTATAATAAACATACACATATCAGGCCCATACCTAGGGATTTTACTGACGACTTGGGCAATCAGAAATGAAGATGACTAGTTTCTCTTATTTGTATATGATTTTAAGGTTCCACATTTACTATGATGAAACTCTGTTGAAGCACAACTGTGGTGTTATCAGCATTTCCCTATTAGTGAGTTCCTGGCCTGGAGGGAGCCCACAAGAGACCAGCACAGAGATTTTTTTCAGTGAGTACACAAAGGTTCATCACTAAGGGGCTCAGATTCCTGGGGATCTATCAAAGGTTTCCAAATGACTTCCTCTTAAAATAGGAAGAATTAAAATACCAAGAATCTGTTATATTTACCATGAGGAGTACTATTTATACTGAAATCTTCAAAGGGATAGGCTAAAAAAATGCCATATCCCTTTAAGTACCTGGCTATTGGAACACAGCCACAGGGGAAACACAACCCTCAGGATCCTACAATAGGTATGAATTAACATAAGGATAGGGGTAAAAACTTCTGTGATAAAAGAAGGCAAGATTATCTTTTTTTTAAAGATTTATTATTATTTATTTATGTATACAAGAACTGGGTGTAGGCAGGGGTGTGAGAGGGTTCACCAGAGACAGAGTGGGGAGCAGAACAGGTGGATCTACTAAAATATACTGCTGAGGGGAGCACCTGGTAAGACAGGAGAGGTCATCTCTTGGCTTGGGATCCAGTGCTCCAGTGGCTGGTGATAGCTTGACAGCTCTGAGACTTAACCCTTACGCCACCAGGGAAGCACTATTTTCTCTTTCTTTATCAACGGTAAAGGATGATGTTATTCTACTAGGTTGTGCACCAAGACATCACATGGGTCAGGGAAGAAAAGGAGTTCTTGGGCCTCCCTGGTGGCGCAAGAGTTTATGCACAGCACTATAAAGCTATCCGCAGCCTCTGCAGCATGAGTTCAATCCATGGGCAGCCAGGGAGCTACCCACATGGCACAGCAGACCTCTTCTGTCTGGCCCATTGCTCTCCTCAGTAGTGTATCTCAGTAGATCTGCCTATTCTGCTCCCTACTCTGTCTCTGGTGAATACTCTTACCCATCGCAGCCCTGGTTTACACCCCAGTTCTTGTATGCATAAAATAAATAAAAACAAATCTTTAAAAAAAAACTTCATCCTTTTTCTTGTCTTTGTTGCACACTAATTGTATTAAAGTTCCTTTCCATTAAAGGTCTTACTCAGTAGAGTATGTTTTCTCTTGACAGGCGGATGACAGCACCTATTTAGAGTGGGCAGGTTTAGGGTTCCTGGGCTGCCCCTCTTCTTGCCCAACTTACCAAGGTCATGACAAAGTCCAGCAATCTGAACACAGAGCTCATCACGTTCATTTATCTGCAGTTCAGGTTGCTTTTCACGCAGTTCACGAACTAGACATCCTGCTAGATACCCTACACTGCAGAGCAGAAAACAAAACAAGTCATACTTCTGTTTGAAAAATGAATAATACCTCTGGCCCTTAAGAACTTTAATATGTGGGGCTTCCCTGGTGGTGCAAGGGGTTAAGCGTCAGCACTATGAAACAATCTGCAACTACTGCAGCATGAGTTCGATCCAGAGATGTGACCCACATGGCGCAGCAGACCTCTCCGGTCTCACCCACTGCTCCCCTCAGCAGTGTATTTCAGTAGATCCGCCTGTTCTGCTCCCCACTCTGTCTCTGGTGAATCCTCTTGCCACCCACACCCCCATATCTCTGGCCTACACCCCAGCTCTTGTATGCATAAATAAATAAATCTTTTTAAAAAACTTAAATATATTTCTCAGTAGTGGGTGTGGTATGATATAGACATTTGCTGAGGTTAAACCGTATGCTGAAACCTAGAGTTTTATAAACTGTTACTTCAATAAAAAAGAAAAAGAAAAAATATGTATTTCTCATGTTTTCTAATATATATCTTGGTCAACTTAACAGAATAGTCTGTTTCAGAGCCAGGCACAAACAGAGAATTCCAAAGCGATACTTCTTATCTCAGCATCACTCATCACTAAAAAATGCAAAATCTAAACCACAATGTGATACCGCCTCACACGCACACACCCATTACGATGACCATTATATAAACACACACACACGAATATTATTCAGCTTTTAAAAAGAATGAAATTTTGACCTATGCTACAACATAGATAAACAAGGAAATTATGCTAAGTGAAATAAGCAGTTTTGCAAGATGTAAAACTGCTGTAGCTTGCAGAAGTTACAAATAATGCATTATTCACTGAAAATAAAGTATCAATGATAGTTAAAGAGTTTGTTAAATAATCCAAGTGACAATTAGAACCCTGGAAGCAGTCTGACAGATTTTATTCTGTGAGAATTGTTCCAATAAACAGTCTGAATTTAGCGGATACAGGTAGAAACAATACAGGTAGAAACAATGAGTCACTTACATTAAGAAAGTAATTATTCTTGATAGGTGGGGAAAGGGTTTGTAGTTCCAACTTGTCCTGACCTAAATATTTGTTGATGCTAGAGGAAAGTAACTCAGAATACAATTTTTTCTTTGCTAAGGAATGTACTGCAGAGATTCAGAGCTTGGGTATCATTGTCAAATCTTTTATTATCTGAAAAGACTGACTTTACGTTCAGGATGCAGCTACCTGCATTAGAGGATGAAGCCCATGAAGATGGCCTTGCTTCCCTGTCTGCAAGATAGGGGGTTGATCCCTGGAAAATTTAAAAAATTTTTTTTAGATTTATTTATTTATTTATACAAGCACTAGGTACAGTCAGAAGTGTGGGAGGGTGAGAGAATTCACCAGAGCCAGAGCGGGGAACAGAACAGGCAGATTGACAAAGAAATACACTGCTGAGGGGAGCAGCGGGGCGAGATAGGAGAGGTCTGCACGCCATGTGGGACCCTCGCCTGCAGCGGGGGAACGAACCGGCGCTGCAGAGGCTGCGGGCAGCTTCGCAGCCCAGCACTCAACCACTGCACCACCAGGGGAGGCCCTGATCCCCAGAAAATTTTATAATATGTTGACAGTGGATATATTTAATACTATTGAACCACACAATTAAAAAGGATTAAGATGGTAAATTTTACATTCTGTGTATTTTAGCTACAATTTTTTTTTAAAAAGTAGAACTGTTGGCGTTATGATGCTTGCAACACAGACTGAAGATAAAGCACCTCACAAATGTCAAATGCACTTTTAGCACTTCCTTAGTTCTGTATGAATACAAAATCTTTCTTCTCTCCTAAATTCTGAGCTCCATGACAATAGAGACAATTGTTATTTACTGGATTCATAGGGCCTAGTAAGTTTTCACTAAATATTTTTGATGACTAAATAGGCATTTGAGTAGATACATGTTTGGATAATTAAAAACGCTTCAAATCGACCTACACACACAAAAGCAATACAATGTGAGTACTTCATGAAAATCTAGAAAACCTAGTAGTCCAGTTCTTCCCAGCCATGTCCTTTCAGCTCTACAGTTTATAATGAAAAAGCAGATTGTGTGAAAAGAGGTGCTACTTTCTATATGTCTGTTCATGCTTTTCTGATTTGCATATTTTCTGATAGCTAAGAAAATTATCTGGATTCAAAGGGCAATTCTATACAAGACTAAGTAGGGACTACTTTATTTATTAAATAATTAATATTTATTATTTATTAAATAATTTATTATTTATTAAATAATTAAACTTATAAAGTTATTTGTTAGTAACCAACCCTGATAGTTATAATATAAAAACATAAATATTTCTTCCAAATGATGTGTCAATAGATGGTATTTCATTATCTTTCCAAGAAAGATCTGAGGGCTTATAAGAATATAAAACAAATAAAATATAGCAAGATAAATCTCAATTTTCTCATCAATAAAATTATCTTTACCATTTGGTAAAACTATTCTCTAAAAGAGGAGACATTTATTTCATGAGACAGAGAAGGTTCTTAGTGACTAAGTTCCCCACCAACTCCCTTCTTACCCCAGACTATGTTCAAATCGATTGTGTGAAGCTCCAGGGAAAACATAGTAACCGCCTCCCAATTGTTTGATATATCGAAGCCGCTGAAATTGAGGTGTGTCAATGATTCGAATGAGGAGAGGATGAAGTTCAATGTGGCCATGGATAGGATCATTAATTACCTAGAAAATTATGTTTCAATTAATATTATTAATAATACATAACTTCATTGAAAATTTTTGTGCAGTCATCCCTATACACAATCCAAAGTTAAAGCTATTTGCTTGTTCTAAGTAAGAACAATACTAAGGGAAATGACAAGACATTAATATCATTACCTTACTTAGGTATCACTACCAGAGAGATCAAGTATATTCGATCTGGGTAAATCTTACTTCTTCCTAATGGATTCTAGTAACAGAAAGATAATGATCTTAATCATTTTACTATATATATATGACTAATTAGCCTTTATTTATTTATTTTTTTAAATATAAGGTTTTTTTTAATTAATTAATTTATTTATTTATACAAGCACTGGGTACAGTCAGAAGTGTGGGAGGGTGAGAGAATTCACCAGAGCCAGAGCAGGGAACAGAACAGGCAGACTGACGAAGTACACTGCTGAGGGGAGCAGCGGGCAGCAGGAGAGGTCTGCGCACCATGTGGGACCCTCACTGGTGGCCAGGGATTGAACTGGCGCTGCAGAGGCTGCAGGCAGCTTCGCAGCCCAGCGCTCAACCGCTGCGCCACCAGGGGAGGCCCTAATTAGCCTTTAATAAGTTAGTGTTGAATCAAATGAAACATATTTAAGACAGTCATTCACATCATATAAGTCGTATCACTACAAAGTCAATGACTAGAATTTGTACCTTTGTTAAACAATTCAACCCTGTGAATGTCCTTATCAGACAAGAAAAAGTTTCACAATCTTTAAGTTTATGAAAATTACATATAGTAGACCCTTGAGCAATCCATGAGTTAGAGGAGCCTTTCTATTTCACCACCCAATGCCCCAGTCAAAAATCTCAATATAATTTTTTACTTTCCAAAGAGTTAACGATAAACTAGTCTATATCTTTCCCTTTATATAAGATCAATGTAATTACCATAAAACAAATAATGACCTATGAGCCTCCCTGGTGGCGCAGGGGTTAAAGTCTCAGCGCTATAAAGCTATCACCAGCCACTGCGGCCTGAGTTTGCCCCTGACCAGGAAGCTAACCCACATGGCACAGCAGACCTCTCCTGTCTTCGCCCACTGCTCCCGTCAGCAGTGTATTTCAGTAGATCCACCTGTTCTGCTTCTCACTCTGTCTCTGGTGATCCCCTTACCCCCAACCCCTGCAATTCTGGCCTACACCCAGTTCTTGTATGCATGAATAAATAAAAATAAATCTTTAAAAAAATACAAATAACAATTTATCATTAAAATTATCAAAGAACAATTCTGTAATCTAGTTTCATTCATTTACAGATCTAAAATCCCCCACTATAAATTATTTCATGTCAGAACGCATGGTGAACAATTTTCATGTTTTTACAAATCTGGATTCAGAAGCCAACTATACTAAATTTAGTATGAAGAAAAATGAGTTAAGAATAAAAGATGGCAGGGCCTCCGTGGTGGTGCAAGAGATTAAGACGCAACCTATGAAGCTATCTGCAGCCACTGCAGCATGAGTTCGATTTCCAGCCAGGAAGCAACCCACATGGCACAGCAGACCTCTCCTGACTCGCCTGCTGCTCCCCTCAGCAGTGTATTTCAGTCTGCCCATTCTGTTCCCCACTCTGTCTGTGGTGAATCCTCTCACCCCCAACGCCTCTGGCCTGTACCCCTATTCTTGTATGCATAAATAAATAAATCTTAAAAAAAAAAAAAGATGGTGACCTTAAGCTAGGCAATAGTTTCTTAGATATAACACCAAAAGCAAAAAAGGCAAAACAAAACAAAAAAAATAGGGCCTTCCTGGTGGCCTAGGGGTTAAGTCTCAGCACTATCACCTCCATAGCCTGAATTCAATACCCGGCCAGAGAGTTAACCCACATAAGGAGCAGCAGACCTCTCCTGTTTTGCCCCACTGCTCCCCTTAATAGTGTATTTCAGTAAATACACCTGTTCTGCTCCCCATTCTGGCTCTGGTGAATCCTCTCACAGCCCTGCGCCTCTGGCCTACACCCCAGTTCTTCTATGCAAGATAAAATAAAATAAAATAAAATAAACTGAACTACATCAAAAATTTAAACTTCCGTGTTCAGAAAATCACCAACAAAAAGTGAAAAGACAGTACAGAAAATGGTAGAAAATATTTACTTATCATATATCTAAAAAGTGACCTAGGGCCTCCCTGGGGGTGCAAGGGGTAAAGCAAAGCACTGTGAAGTTATCTGCAACCTCTGCAGCCAGGGTTCAATACCCAGCTACCCACATGGTGCAGCAGACCTTTCCTGCTCATCTGCTACTCCCTTCAGCAGTGTATTTCAGTCAGTTTGCCTGTTCTGCTCCCCACTCTGTGTCTGGTGAATCTTCTCACCCCCTGCACCTCTGACCTGTACCCCAGTTCTGGTATGCACAAATAAAGTTTTTAAAAATAAATAAATAGGGCCTCCCTAGTAGCATAGGGGTTAAAGACAAAGCTTTCAAGCTGCTGCCAGCTGCTGCTAGCTGCCCCACCACGAGTTCAATCCCCAGAGGCCAGGGAGCAACCCACATGGCTTAGTAGACCTCTCCTGTCTCGCCCGCTGCTCCCCTCAGCAGTGTATTTCAGTGGATCTGCCTGTTCTGTTCCCCACTCTTTGGTGAGTCCTCTCACCTCCCGCACCTCTGGACTGAACCCACTTCTTGTGTGCATGAATGGATAGATCTTTATAAATAAATAAATAAATAAATAAATAAACAAACAAATAAATAAATGGTGACCTGTATCCATAATATATAAAGAACTTTATTTAAAAGACTTATTTTTATTTATTTATGTATACAACAACTGAGGTGTAGGCCAGAGGTGTGGGGGGGTGAGAGAATTCACCAGAGACAGAGTGGGGAGCAGAACAGGTAGATCTACTGAAATACACTATTGAAGGGAGCAGTGGGCAGAGACAGGAGAGGTCTGCTGCACCAAGTAGGTTAGCTCCCTGGCCGGGGATTGAACTCAGGCCGCAGTGGCTGACCATAACTTGAAAGCAGTGAGACTTCAACCTCTGCGCCACCAGGAAGGCACAATACATAAAGAAATTTTACAATTTAAATTAGATTGTGAGAATAAGTGAGCAATTTTGTGAACTTTCTAAAAAACATTAACTTGTACACTTTCAACGAGTAAGCTGAAGTTATGTGAACTGTATCAATTCTACATAATTGTTGTATCACTTTATATTTCAAAAACATGATAACTCAGATTCTTCTTACCTTCATTGCATCAACATGACGTGGACCCAGTTGCTGGATATAACTAATCAGTTTCCGTCTCTCACCCAAGGAACTAAAATTATAACAGGTTAAAAAAATCTGTCATCAATTACTTAATAATAACTCATGGAATATTTAATAGATTATAGTCAACTCAAGATTATCTACACTAACAGAAAAAGAAGTCAGATTAAAAGAAACAATAAATAATACAAACTTAATCCTAGAAACTTTTCTTTTAGCTGAGCTGTAACCAAGAGTTACAGCATAACATATATTAACCTCACTGCCCAGTATTTTCCTAAGCTAATCATTTATTTAAAACCCCAAACAGAAACTATTCATAAAGAATTTCCTGATTAAAGGAAATAAATATAGCCACTAAAAAATCTGAAGACTTTTGTTTTGGCAAAGTTTATGGCAAAATAAATTCTTAAAACAAAGATCCCGGGCCAGAATACTTAGGTTATGTTAAGATTTTATTTCTGACAGCCCTCCTGCCTACTTATGGCTGTGCATGTACCTCTTTTTTTCTCCTTTTCCTAATAAACCTGTCCTGTTAAAATATAAAGATTTTTATTTCTGCATTTCTAATGCAAAATGTAATCCTTGTTACAACCCATATCTACATTTAACATAACAATGTCCTTATTTTCTAAAAAAATCTTTTAAATTAGCTAATTAAAAAAAAATTGGGGGCCTCTCTGGTGGTGCAAGGGGTTAAGTCTCAGCACTATGAAGCTATCAGCAGCCATTGCAGCACACGACTTGGATCCCCGGCCAGCAAGATACCCATATGGCACAGCAGACCTCTCCGTCTCGCCCACTGCTCCTCTCAGCAGTGTATTTCAGCCAATCTGCCTATTTTGCTCCCCATTTTCTCTGGTGAATCTTCTCACCCTCCCACACCTCTGGCTTATATCCTAGTTCTTGTATGCATAAATAAATAAATCTTTAAAAAAAAAATCAAGTGACTATAAGAAATGCTTGTTTAAACTGGATTCCCCCTAGAAAGCTGAGTCCAGAACAAGAGCTTACATAAAACAATTTATTTTGGGGCATGAATCCTGGGAACAGGAGTAGGGGCTAACAAAGGTGAAACAAACAGGAAAGGAGGCAAGAACAATACAAGGATACACTAAATTAGTTGCAATGATATCATTTTGGACAATTTCAGCTGATCCCACTGGGATCTTTAAAGGTAGCAGCTTTTTTGGGCCTCCCTAGTGGCCTAGGGGTTAAGTCCCAGAGCTATCACTGCTACTGCCTGAGTTTGATCCTCAGCCAGGGAGATAACCCACATGGCACAGCAGACCTCTCCAGTCTCCTCTGCTGCTCCCCTTAGCAGTGTATTTCAGTAAATTCACCTGTTCTGCCCCCACTCTGTCACGGGTGAATCCTCTCACCCCCTGTACCTCTGGCCCACACCCTAGTTCTTTTAGTCAAGAAAAAAAGTAGCATCATTCTGTCCAGTAGAATTTAGCAATGATGGAAATCTACATTTGCTCTGTCCAACCATTAGTCATAAGCTCTAAGTGGCTATTGAGTACTTGAAATATGGCTAGCCTAACTGAAGTATTTAAATTAATTTAAACATGTAGCTAGTGGCTACCATATAAGGAAACACAAGTGTAAGGAGTCCTGCAGAATCTACCTTTGAATTAAAGGTGGGCACATAAGTTGTATCACATAATGTTCCTTTTGAAATTGTCTGTTTTGTCCACTAATGTGTCCTAAATTCTAGAAGAATGTCTAACACGTAATGAGCACTCCATAAATATTTGTTGAATAAATCAATAGCATTTGGGTCTACAAAGTCTATGATTCTCTAAAAAGAAAGGATATTGGAATCTCAAATAATAAGCAACACTTATATGCAAGAAAGAGGTAGTACCGGGGTGGGGGGCCTTTGAGGGGACTAAGAGGCTTGAAAATTATGAAAGCGTCATAAGGTTCTTTTTTTTTTTTAAAAGATTTATTTTTTATTTATACAAGTACTGGAGTACAGGCCAGATACTCAGGAGGGTGAGAGGATTCACCAGAGACAGAGCGGGGAACAGACAGGCAGACTGATGAAATACACTGCTGAGGAGAGCAGCGGGTGCAACAGGAGAGGTCTGCCGCACCACGTGGGATTCTCACCAGTTGGCCGGGATCGAACCCGCGCTGCAGAGGCTGCGGAGAGGCTGCACAGGCAGCCTCACAGTGTGGAGCTCAATCGCCTGCGCCACTAGGGAGGCCCAGGCGTCATAAGGTTTGATCAAAAAACACACATTGAAAGACAGCTAAATGTTCTAAAAAGATCTTTTCTTCACAATCTCCTTCCATTACTATTTACTAAGGGAAAGTGCATGAGGCCATTCAGTATAATCCTTTGTATTGATTCTTTGGTTACAGTTACCACAAACAACATTTAGCTAAGTGGAATTCCAGAAGAAAAGATCATATTTCACTACTGTTGCCAAATTCCATAATAGAAACTAAGTCTCCATTTTAAGGAATATTTAAATATTGGATCACCTCCAGCCATACATTGGAATCAAAGTCTCTCTCTCTCTCTCTCAACATATATATATATATATATATATATATATATATATATGTATATGTGTATATATATAAAGTTTACAAGGGCTTATGTACTAATCACTTTACATACATTGTATCATTATTAGTATCCATTTCACAGGTATAGAAATTGATTACATAATTTGTCCCATATCAACAACTAACAAGCACCAAACTACTTTGTCATAACTACTAGTCACAAACTACTTTGTATAGTGTTTCTAAATCTAATACCGCAAACACTACAGTCTAAGATAGTTTTAGGAAAACCTAGAAATATATTCAAAATAAGGTTATAGTCTTGATTTTTCTTGCTAACATGTCCCCCCATCAGTTCTTATTTCTTTTCTAGTGTTTAATATTCAACTATTCTGAACGTGAGAATAAAAAGTTGTTTACTACAAATTTCATTAAGGTTTGTCAGCAAAATTTTAAAAATATGACTCATCAGTTATATTAGACATAGGATTTGCACAACAGAAACAACTGGCGAACAATTTTAAAATGTGCCACAAATTTATATGAGGATAGTTAGTATTAGTGATCTTGGAGTTTATCCCTCAAATGTAAATAAAATGGCTATAAGTATTCTTGGATTCAATGTGAATTTATAGTTCTTACCTCATTCCAAGATTTTCAAGAAGGGAATCATCAAGAAAGGGCAGTAATGAACCTGTGATTTTATTTTCTACGGAAAGAAAGGAAGAGAGATGAATGATTTCAATATTTAGAGCATATGATCTTTGATTTCTTTCAAATTGGATCTATCAGAATTTATTCAGATCAACATTTTCTGAGGATTCATTAATCAACTGGACTGTCTCATGTCCTACTTTTTAATTGCTACTTGGAGGTCTTAATTTTAATAAGATGATTATACCAAGAAGCTTTTTTTTTATAAAGAAGATGATAATTTAAAAATTATTTCAGTAAATTTGCATAAGCTCAGTTGCCAAAAAACAACAACAAACCTGTGGGGTTTTTACCAAGTTGACCCCTTTCTGGGGTGGGGAAAATTCTTTCATTCTTAAATTAGTCATGTAAAAAAATAGCCTGAGGGTTTCCCAAAGTGTTAACTTAGTTCTAAAACCTCCAACAAAAGCATGCAATACTATACCTCTAAAGGCTTTATATATGATTTGTTTTTTCTTTCTCTTTTTATATAATTAATTCTAGTCCTTCCTGACCTAAGATTTCAAAACTCTAGACTACTTTAAAACAATATCTTTCTGAAGCTAACAAGATGAGGAAGTAGTTTTCCAGAAAGAAAGAGTTTAAATGAAAGTGGCTTTTTTTTGTATTTTTTGATCATGAAAAAATAATGTAAATAAATTCAACAATTAAAAATACAGAAAGTATAAAATATCAATTTAAATTTTCCTAATAGATAATCACTGTTAACATTTTGGTTAATATCATTCAAGGCATTCATCCATGCAACTAGGTAATTTTACATAAATGAGATTATGTTGTTTATGACCTACTTTTTCATAGCTAACATGTCATAAACTTATTTCTTGCCAATTATTAAACTACATCATTTTAAACTGATGACAGTCTTATCTTCCATAAGATATACTATGTAGTAAGATATATTTAACTACTTTTTTTCAGAGCCATAAGCTCCTTGCCCCTAAAATGAGCATAACTGAATTTAAATAGAGTTATAAAGATTTTTTAAGACAAAAAACATCAAGAGCACAGACCATTATCTCACACAAAGTAAACTTTCAATAAATGCTAACCATCACTTAATTATTACTATTATTTAAAGAATTCACTCAGGGGCCTCTCCGGTGGCGCAGCGGTTGAGCGCTGGGTTGCGAAGCTGCCCGTGGCCTCTGCGGTGCCGGTTCGATCCCCGGCTGCTCCCCGGCCACCAGAGGAGGGTCCCACATGGCGCGCAGACCTCTCCTGCCGCCCGCTGCTCCCCTCAGCAGTGTACTTCGGTCCTTCTGCCTGCTCTGCTCCCAGCTCTGGTGAATTCTCTCACCCTCCCGCACTTCTGACTGTACCCAGTGCATGTATAAACAAAACAGACAAACAAACCAGCAAACAAATAAATAAAGCATGCCTCTAAAAAAAAAAAAAAAAAAAAAAAAAAAAGTGTAAAAAAAAAAATAAAGAATTCACTCAGTACCATTCAGAACTTCATCTGCAAATGAAAACAAGACTTTTATTTGAGATAGTTATGGAGATGGTAATCCAGAAGCACACCTTAACAAGGCCCTGTGAAACTCCACTCTGGAGTAAAAAAGACACTTTATACAGGCAGAGTTCCTAGAGGTAAACTAACAAAATTCTCGAAAAGGGGAAATATAAACATGCAAAAGGAGGAAGCCTGGCTTTTTAGTGCATATGAACAACAGATAGCCCACATTGAGGCTCAGGTTTGTTTGGGGCAAGTTCATCATTTGAGTTGCTAAGTGGTCGGGTATGGTATATGTGCATAAATTCTACTCTCCTAATGACCTCAGATTCTGTTCTGGACAACCTCCTTTATTTTAATTTCATTTCTCAGTACAGTCACAATTATTGATAATTATTATTTAGGTAATTTCTACTTTTTTTGCTATCTATAACCAATGGTTAGATGAATTGATCTCTGATCTTTAAAAAATAATCCTGCATATATTTTTTGACATCTGTACGCTCCTACCTGTAAGTTTCCTAGAGATAAAAAGTATTGCCAAGCTATCCATGGTTGAGCTCAACAATCAATATTTTCCATCAGTTTCACTGGGTTACCTATTTCTCCTATTATTAATATTTAAATATCTTCTCATCTAAACAGTTGGTATTTTTTAAATTGCTATTGAGACTGAACACTTTTGTTTACTGGTTTGTTGTTAATTGTTTGTTCTTGTATTTTGCTCATTTTTCTATTGGGGTGCTTTCTTCTTTCCACTTCTCTTAATTGATTATGTTCTCCAGTTATTCAAAAAATTGGTTTATTTCCTAATTGTTGAGAGAAATTTGATGGTTTTTGATGAAAACTTATTAAGTTGTAGCTGGCATGAATTATGGAGTCCAAAGACCTAACTTTGAAATCAAACTCCACTTTTTTTATTGCTGTGTGACCTTGGAAAGTTATTTAATACTCTGAACCTCAAATACATCATCTATTTAAAAAATATATGGTTAAGGGGGGGCAGGGCAGGGAAAAATATATGGATGATAGCATCTAAAAAATTCCAGGGTTCTTGTTGTGAGAATGTATTCCCTAATGAGGTAAGAGCTCCAACACCTTGTGCCTGGGTTTGTCAAATAAAAACATCTAGACTTAGATAGTGAGATTTAGAAAGATTACCACAATAAGGAGAAAGTTCCCACTTTAGAAATCTGCAAGCAGCTCAAAATCAAACAGAAAATTGTAGGGCTTTTTATAAAGTGAAGAAATGGGGGCCTCCCTGGTGGCACAAGATGTTGTGTCACAGCGCCACAGCAGCACAAGTTTGATCCCCCTCCAGGGAGCTAACCCACAGGGCGTTAACCTCTCCTGTCTCGCCCACAGCTCCTCTCAGCAGTGTATTTCAGTCAATCTAAGTGTTCTACTCCCCACTCCGTCTCTGGTGAATCCTCTCACACACACCCCACCTCTGGCCTACACCCCAGCTCTTGTATGCATAAATAAACAAATCTTAAAAAAAAAAAATAAAGTGAAGGAAGTACAGGCAGAGAAAAGCAGAATGTTTGGAAGGAAAGCGGAACCAGCAAGAAAAATGACCCTACTGGTGTTTGTCAGGACAGTGTCCTGTTGTGCTCAGCTCAGATCCCAGGGAAAGCTGACAAGGGGCATAACCCACTTTTTCAGTGCTTGCTCAGGCTTGGGGGCAACCACAAGTTCAGGGGTCTGCAGGAGAGAAAAAGAGAGGCCTAACTGACAAAACAAAGAGAAGGAATTGTGAAACACCAACTAAAAATAAGCAGTATCTTCTGGTAGCATTGTACTAGACTGTGGATTCAAGAGAACAGATCATTCTGGAAGCAGATGAATTAATCTACAGAACACCATTGAACAGACAGCCAACACATAGCCAATCACATTTTGGAGCCAGAAAAATTAAACTCCTTTATCACCACCTGTTGCTACTACAAGGAAAAAAATCCACTCCAACAGAGAACAGGGGGCCGGGAAGGAGAAGAGGCACAATTTCCCACACCCATTCAAGCTATCTTTACTACCTGAACTACTGATTTTATTTTGACCCAAGTCACCAGAGCGGAGAAACAGGGCCCCACAATTGCAGAAGTTTGCTGGATTTGCAAACCACATCACTGCCCTCTAGAACAAGCCAGAGGATAAGGGGTCACACCCATCACAGAGAGCTGAATGCATTTCAAGTGGTGGGATGGCTGCTTGAACTTGAGTCAGTAAAGTCACTTAACACAACCTACACACCTCAGGTGAGATGAGACCAAACTGTGAGCTGCAGGGAGTTCGCTGGTCAACTGAACATCCCAAAAATGCTTTTGGAGAATAAAACATGATCATTACGAAACTGAAGTACAATCAACAGGTCATTCTGGGCCCTCCTGGGATACTATGGTTTGGATTGGGATATTAACAAAACAAGCTCCTCCCTTTTTAGGAAATCCCCAAATTGAGGAGGCAAGCAGAGGAAAGCAAAACCTATCAGCACCAAAACACACCCTAACTTGGCAAGCGTGCCCGAGCTGCGGTAGCAGAGGGGTCTCCCGAGACCGGGGCGCCCGAATGACAGCAACCACACGACCGAGGGACTCGAGTCTCTCCTGTCCAGCGCTGGGGCCGCAAGTTCCCGAAGAATCCCAGCAGAACTGGACCGCCTGCGCCGCCCAGATTTGCAACCCAAAGTCGGCTTCCTTCCCACGAGACCCAGACGCCCCATTTCGCCTCCCTCCACCTCACCTCCTGCCTCAGGTGCCCCCCTTCGGTGCCTCTGGCGCCAGATCAGCCTTCCCCCCTCGGGCCCCTTTCTCTGGCTCTCCGCCGCGCCTCAGGTTTCCATTCTCCGCCTCAGGTCATCCCTCCCAGGGCGCCCCCCGCCTGGGGTCCCCACCCCTGCGGGTGCCTCCCGCATCAGCTCCCCCTTCTCCGTGCCGAGGCCTCTGAGAGGCACTTGCTCACTGTATCAGGGCGCCCCCTCCGCAGGCCCAGCGGCCCCCGCCTCGGATCGCACCCCTCGCCCCTCCAGCCCCAGTGCCCCGCTACCTCGGAAGCGCTGCAGCAGCCCCGAGTCTCTGAAGCCACAGTGCTGCAGGTAGCAGCACACCTGCTCCGGATCCCAGGTTTTATGGTTCGGGTGGAGCTCGAGGCGCGGGGACATCTTCGCCTCTACGATAGGGGTGTTTGGCGGCGTTCTCGGGCTGCTATCGCATCGGGCCCGCTTGGGGGGCTTCTCGGAGTCGGAGCTCTGCATGGCCACAGCCGGCAACCCGCTCCACACAGTCAAGCACCGCGGCGCCCGCTCCGCGCGCAGGCGCACTGGCGGCCGGCCCCGGTGGCGAGTCAGCTTAGTAGAGCCGGCCCCCGCCTCCGCGCAGGCGCACTGACAGCTCAGCTGGGGCGCCCGCGGCTCAGCCACTTTGGCCAGCTGGTTCCTTGCGCAGGCGCCGTGACAACTCAATGGTCTTCAACCTCGCCCAGGGGGTTTCCGAGAAAGGGCTCTGCTCGAAACCGAACCAAGGGCGGTGCCAAGTAAAGGCTGTGTCGAGAAAGATTGAGTACACACCCAAGGAAGTCCCGACACAGTCCTTAGCCGGGGCTTTTCGGGGTGAATTGAGGGTACCCTCTGCTGAAAATCCCAGGCTTGTCCCTGGCCGTGTTTCAGAGACCCAAACCTAAAAGGCCACCAGGCTGCCAACATCTTGGGAAAAATGGGTAAGAAGCAAAACTGAAAGATCTTGGAATGACTTAAAACAGTATGTGAAGGTATTTTCTTGCATTTCACAAGTTCTACAGTATTAGGCTTTACCAGTTGACTGGGCTGCTAGAGCGCCCTGGATATGCCTAGCCACAAACCCTATTAGTCTTATCTTTAGGTTGCTATACAGAATCCGTTACAGGATAGAGAGAGGGGCCCCCCAAAACCCCCAGACCTGCCCACTCTAAATAGGTTCTGCCATTTGCCACATCAAGACAAAACATACTCTAGTGTGTAATACCGTCAATGGAAGGGAACTTTAACACAGTCAATGTGCAATACAGAAAAGGGGTAGAATGGGGATGAATATAATTTCCAAATCAAGCACCCAAAGATACCCGGCCCCTTGTAAGTAAGTGTCCAGACAAACAGGGTTGGCCCAAAGCAGGGCCTCTGCGGCCTGACTGAAAGCCTGCCACAAGTCTAAGGCACCTGCTGGGGAGGACCCAAAGGAAAAGGGCAGAAGGGGTGTCTGGAAGGAAAAGAGCAAAATCAAAATCAAGATGAAGGTTGCCATTAACCTCCCCAGGGGTCTCTCACCTACATCTGTTTCAAATGGTCCAGGACCAAAAAGCAAGTGCAGCTTCTTCACATGTCTCTCTGCTCCATGAGCCTCCTCCAAGTCTCCTCCTTACTCTCTATCCTTCTTCCTTCCTTCCCCAGTCTCTCCAGCTTCTTTTTCTCCCTGCTCAGCTCCACCCTCCCTTGGGTGGGACAGGGATCCTGGCACCTTCCCTTTTCCTGAAGACCACCCTGTTACAGAATGGACTTCTCTCCAAGAGAATCCTCTCCACCCCAAACACCGGGAGTTTAAGGAAACAAATTGGCCAATCTGATTAAAATTTATCTTCAATAACTTTCACTACTTGGTGGTAACAGCCTCTGAAAATGCCGCCATTGCCCTCCCTATATCTTCTCTTCTTGATAGGGGCTAGGGAGGAGGAGTAGATCTGGTGAGATGCTAAGCTGGTAGAGTAGGAAAACTGCACACATGTACTGCTTATGGCCTGTCTGCTCTGAGTTAATTTTCCAGCCCAAGGACATGTCTGGAGGAGTGCGAGGAACCAGTGCTATCAGAAGACCAGCTTCAGCACACTAGCCAGATGTCCAGCAGGGTGATAAGTTGCTCCGTGGTCTGTACATCACAATCTCCTGGCAGCAATGAAGGCCTGCTTACTGCTGAATTCTCTTTGTTCAACTCACGATAAAAAGTCACCTGGAAATGAAATGTTAAGGCAGTTTCTTTAGGATATTAGCCCTGCCTTCTAGATTGCCAGCTGTCTGATTAAAGCACACTTTAAAGATTCAATTCCTGTCTCTACTTTATTGGTAATTGGTGGTGACAGAACTCCGGTATTCCGGTTACACTATGACCATGGCAGGACTCAAACTTGCCTATAAAACTTGGTCCATGCGGGCCTCCCCTGGTGGCGCAGCGGTTGAGCGCTGGGCTGTGAGGCTGCCTGCAGCCTCTGCAGCACCGGTTCGTTCCCTGGCTGCCGGCAAGGGTCCCACAAAAAAAAAACCTTGGTCCATGCAATTAACTGGTAAAGGAGAGCTCCTATCTCTGCTAGAGGCAACACCCATCCCATCAACCCAGCCATGGACCCCCCTCTAAGGGATAAATGATGAATAATTCAAGCAGTATGAACTAGTGATCTAGTGGTGACACAAAATATTCTTAGCAAACACAGAGTTTTACTGTGTGCCAGGCACTGTTCTACAGACTTTGCAAATAACTTGAGTATCACAATAGCCTGTTAACCTAAAAATCAAGAGACAGTAAAAAGGCAAAGCATGCTTATTTGGAACCTAAGAATTGCATTCAAGGGAGCACAGATTTGGCTAGAAACCCAGTGTCTCAAGGAGGAGCAAAAGGCAGGGGGTTTTATGAAAAGAGAAGGATGGGTCATTAGTGATGAAAAGCAAGCCTAGATTTGGACTTCACTGATTGTTCAGACAAAAGGGTCACATTGGCTTCTTGAAATGTAAGCAGCTTAGTCCAGATCAAGAGTTTATGAAAAACAGACGTAAGTGGAACCACTTTAAAATAGCGTCAGAGAGGGCCTCCCTGGTGGTGCAGGGGTTAAAGACAGTGCTATCACCAGCCACTGCAGAATGAGTTCAATCTGATCCCCTGGCTGGCAAGGGAGCTAACCCACATGGCACAGCAGACTTCTCCTGTCTCGCCCGCTGCTCCCCTCAGCAGTGTATTTCAGTAGACCTGCCTGTTCTGCTCCCCACTCTCTCTGGTGAATTTTCTCACCCCCCACTTGCACCTCTGGCTTACACCCCAGTTCTTGTGTGCATAAACAAATAACTCTTTTTAAAAAAATAAATAAAATAAAATAGGGTCAGAGTTGTCATGATGGAAAAACTGCTTACTGGCCATTTGTACTGGGCCATAAGACCCTTGAAGATGACCAAACAGTAGTTGTTTCAGGAACCCTTGTTTGAGAATCCAGTAGAATGGACTTCTGATCATAAAGGACAGATGATTATGGACTTTTGCCAGAGGATAGAATCAGTATCCAGTTATGTATGGCCAAGAATAGGTTAAATGATCAACTAATTAACTCTATTTTTTTTAAAGATTTATTTTATTTATTTATGCATGCAAGAACTGGGGTGTAGGCCAGGGGTGCGGGGTGGGGTGTGGGTGAGAAGATTCACCAGACAGAGTAGGGAGCAGGACAGGCGGCAGATTGACTGAAATACACTGCTGAGGGGAGCAGCGCGTGAGACAGGAGAGGTCTGCTATGCCATGTGGGTTAGCTCCCTGGCAGGGGATCGGGATTGGACTTGTGCTGCAGTGGCTGTGGAGCTTCATAGTGCTAACTTAACCCCTTCTGCCACCAGAGAGGCCCCAATAAAATAAATCTTTAAAAAAGGGGCCTCCCTGGTGGCCCAGTATGTTGAGCATTGAGCGTAGCACTGGAAAGCTATCCGCATCCTCTGTAGTGTGGATTCAATTCCGGCCAGCCAGGATATACTGACATGGCATGGCAGACCTCTCCAGTCTCACCCGCTGCTCCCCTTAGCAGTGCTTTTGGTCTGTCTGCCTATTCTGCTCCCTGCTCTGTCTCTGGTGACTCCTCTCATCCTCCTGCACCTCTGACTTGTACCCCAGCTCTTGTATAAATAAAGCAAATCTTTAAAAAAAAACTGTATTCTAAAATGCAACACTTTAATCCTAAATAAGCACTTGACTGCCTCTAATCTTAGCCTTTTATGTTTAGGTTAACAAGTTCAAGGAACAGATGACCAAGACAGTTTCTTTAGAATGGATCCCCCAGCTCCATTTTTTAAATGCCTCCTCTTTTGTCAACTTTTACAAACCTTACAAGGTAAGGAACTGAGGTACAGAGAAATAACTGAGTAATTTGCCCAGTTTCACACAGGTTGGAAGTGATGAAGCCTATATTCAAACCAAGGCAATATGGCCTGACTCCAAAATTCCTGCTCTTGGGCCTCCCTGGTGGCCTAGGGGTTAAGTCTCAGTGCTATCACCACCATGGCCTGAGTTTGATCCCTGGCCAGGGAGCTAACCCACATGGTGCAGCAGACATCTGTCTCTGCCCGCTGCTCCCCTCAGCAGTGTATTTCAGTAAGTTTGCCTGTTTGGTTCCCCACTCTGTCTCTGGTGAGTCCTCTCACCCCCTACACCTCTGGCCTACACCCCAGTTCTTCTACACAAAAGAACCCTGAAGTCTCTGGTCTTAATCACTTACCAACAATTGCTTATTAATGGGAGTTTTGATGTAAAATATTTTATGTGAATAAACCCCAATATTTCAATTGTTCCCTTTTACCATAGGCCTGTGGGGGTAAGTACAGAGTTGTGTAGTTGTCTTCCTTTTTTGCAGGAGGGCCAAGCCCAGAAAGTCCCAAAATAGTTTGGGGAAGACCAGTTCAAAGACTTATGAAACAGAAACAAGGGTGGTGAAGGAGGCAACAAATCGCATACATGTGAAAGGCATTTCAACTCAGAAATGATTGTTTTGAAACTTGTGTTTATTAAACTTGTGAGGAACAGGGAGAGAACAGGGTGGGGCCAGGGCCCAACGGTATACGGTAATGGGGTGTAGTTGCTTTTTCCTGGGTGAAGTGTGGTGAGCCAGACCTGAGCAGGGATGAGCCCATTTCCCTGAATCATATACAGTGATGTAAATGAATGTTACTTCTAGTAAATATATAGGTTTAAAATAATTTTTTAAAAAATTGTGGGTGGCACCACAGCAAGGTTTCCAGGATAGTAGAAGGTGATATCAGCAGGATTTTGGGTTAAATCAATTGGGTTTACACAAAGCAGTTTCTATGGCAAACTTTATTTTTCTATTTGCTTGCTTTTATTAAAAAAGTATAATTTAATGACGTATTTCTTATTTCCCCACCCCCACCCCAATCTGCTATTCTAAGAGCTCAAGATCTAACACAATGTGGTTGGTTATTTGCTCAAGGTCACTTGACTGATCAAAGTGACAGAGTTGAAATTCAGAGCTGCCTCCAAAGCTTGGGCACTTTCCAGTCTGTCACTTCACTTAA